TGAACTTGAAAGGTGTTATTTCTAGGTTTGTGAAGTGCAAATAACATCTTTCAAGTTCACATAGACACCTTGTACGTTTCTATTTTATAAGAACTGTGACCAAAACAAATTATGCCAGGGGCCGGTGTATATTCTTCTATAATTCCTGGGGGTGGGGAGGAATCAAAGGGTCTTAGGCCCAGGGAAGAAATTCAAAGAAGATTAAAAACAAAGGAAGGGAAGGAAAAGAAAAGAAAGAGAGAAAAGAAGAGAACAAAGGGGAAAAGAAAGGAAAGGGCAAAAGGAAAATGAGGGGGCAAAAGGAAAAGAAGATAAAGGACAAGGTATGAGAATGAAAAAGAACTGAGAAAACTTGGGGATCATTCTCACATTATGTCAGCAAGGAATATAATATCAATGTTTAAATAAGTGAATATATATTATGTTTGTGAAACTAAAAAACGTTTGTTAAAAGTGAACATAATTTAGAGAGAGGAGTACTTTTTAAGGGTAACATCTCTAGCTAATACACTGTGTATCAATAACAAATTATTTTGTTGTGCTGTTTATCAATGATCATGAGATGCAGAAGTTCAAAATAAACTAAAAAATTTGTTGTCAAAATCAGCATTGTAACATCACTTTTCTACCTTCAACCAAACGTTTTTCCAAAGTAATTCTTTAAATCGTAGCAATTAATGCCGTAATCGAGATATTATTATTATTATTACACTGTGCATGTGTTCTGTATGCTGACACTATCATATGAAGCAATTTTGTATTGGGGGGGGGGGGCTGATTACCCAGGGGCAATTATTAGGTATTATTTTCCTCTCAAACTTTACAGATTATCACTAGTTTACAAATTCTTGGAGGGGGGCAGAAGCATACCATTGGGGGCAGGGGGCTGAGGCAAAGTTTTGGTGACAGTTCAGCAATAATTTAATTGCTAATAACAAATTAGATATTATATGAAAATAAATAATACTGGTCAAAATAGTACTAAAATAGTTTTGGGGCTCCAACTTTTGTGATAAAAGCTAACCCCATAGGCATAGTCCCGGCGTACTTAATCGATGAAATCGATAATCGATGAGTATCGATATCAATCAATACCAATCGATATTTATCAATCGATTGATATTGGAAATCGATGAATAATCGATGGCTTCTTTTGCTGTGACTTTCATCGATTGATCATCGATTTATTAATTTTCATTGATGAAAAAATCCTCAGTTAGTAATATGCATGCAATCAAACAGGCAACGCCGTTATTTAATTAATACGTACTTTAATGTCGTAACAAACTCAAATGTGAACGGAATTCAGTAACAATGGATTAAATTAAGTTTTCATCTAGCTATAATGCACATCAAATACATGTGTCCGTTCGAAAAATGAGAACATATTTACTATTTAGCTCGAACACGCCGACACGCGGCGATTATTTAGGATATAAATCGATAAAAATCTAAAGCATTTTGTCGATAAAAATCGATAAATATCGATGAAAATCGATGAATATCGATAATAATCGATAAAATTGGCTATAACTTTTTGTGACTATCGATTGGTCATCGATTGATCAATGTCAATCGATATCAATTAAGTAATTAGCATCGATTGCCATCGATTGGATTTCCGATGATCGGTTTTTATCGATTAAGTACGCCGGGGCTGCGGGGCATAGTATAACCCCAGGTCCCCAACCCCATACAGCAAGTTAATGCATGATGCTGACATTTGAAAGGAAAACGGCGATATTTTAAAATAATGAAACAAACAAGCTTATGCATAAACACTAAAATCTCAATATACGCAAATAAATAATAAAATATATCATGAATAATTTATTACTTGCCTGAAGTTTGATTGTGCTCTTGCCAGTAATGTGGAATGAGTATGCGTTTCGCCAGTGGAACTAGTTTGACGAGTAGAACTGGCAGTAGAACTAGTAGAATTCGTTTGATTTTGCGGACTTTGAGTCGAACCAGTAACATTTTTTATTTTTGACAAAGCATCTTCTAAAATGTCCGTCACGGCTTTTACTTCCTCCATCTTGTACAAACCTAGCCTGCGAACAGGCTCTCAAGCTGAATTGAGAAACGTTCGTTTTTCCAAATATGGAATGTCTATCCTTATATGGTGTTGTTTACGACTTTCGTGCAAACTAAATTTAGACCGTGCAAACTAAATTTAGACCGTACAGTTTATACTGTTTTTCGAAATATAAGATATTCAAGCAAAAGTTCAAATGTTTTAAATACTGTTTTCTCAAAACAGAACATTTCGTGCTTTGAGATAAATGGCCAAGACCAATTTCATAGTGCTTCAGCAGTTGACATGGTTTGGTCACGTGTCCATTTTTGGCGGGAAAAGGTCACACCGCGACGAAGAAACGAAACGCCGCGACGAAACGAAGAGACGAAACGCCGCGACGAAACGAAGAGACGAAACGCCGCGACGAAGTGACGCGACGAAGAGATGTACGCACCGGAAACCGGGTACACGCTGCGACGAAGAGATCGAAAATATACGCCTCGACGAAGTGAGACATCGAAATGAGACATGCAAGGACGAACTAGGTAGACGCCTCGACGAAATGAGACATCGAAGTGAGACAAGTAACGACGCCTCGACGAAGTGAGACATCGAAATGAGACATGCAAGGACGAACTAGGTAGACGCCTCGACGAAATGAGACATCGAAGTGAGACATGTAACGACGCCTCGACGAAGTGAGACATCGAAATGAGACATGCAACGACGAATTAGGTAGACGCCTCGACGAAATGAGACATCGAAGTGAGACATGTAACGACGAATTAGTTAGACGCCGCGACGAAGTGGAGAAACGACAAGCTGACACGTCCAAATGAACGACAAAACGACGGTTGACATGACGAAATGAACATTTTGTCCACGAACTGACGCCATACATAATGATCAGTTTGAAGTCTTGTGGGTTAAAGCTCGTCCTCACAAATTGCCGAGGAGCCTATCTTGCATTATCACTGGTTCAATTTACCATCCACCCTCAGGAAATGATAGAAATGTGATTGATTTCCTAACTGAGCAATTGTCCCTTATCGAATCAACTTTTTACAATCGTGGTATTATTCTACTTGGAGACTTTAATAATCTTATTGTCATCGTCTAAATAAATCTAAAACAATTGGTTAAATTCCCGACTCGTGGAAGGAGAACCCTTGATCTAATTCTAACTAATTTGGCTAAATTTTACCTACCGCCAGTTAAACTTCCACCTTTTGGTCTCTCCGACCATTTTACTATTCTTTCGATCCCCAAACACAAGGTCGCACGAAGAACAAAATATGATATTTCTCAAGCTCGCAACCAACACCCGAGAAACAAAGCAGCTATCAGCACCTTCATTACTGAATTTGACTGGTCAATTCTTGATTCCCTTTTGTCATGTGATGAAAAATGGTCTGCCTTTGAATCAATTATTCGGTTTGGGATGGACATTCTCCTTCCCACAAAAACTATAAAGAAACGGCTCGATGACCCATCCATGGATAACCCAACATTTGAAATCCCTAATTCAGCAACGCCAAAAAGCATTTGCGAAAGGACATGACCAGTTATTTAAAAGTCTTCGTAACCGCGTCAATAGGGAACGAAAACAATGCCGGAGTAAATACTATGACTCAAAAGTCAGTCAACTTAAAGTCTCTGATCCCAAACAGTTGTGGAAATCTGTTAAGTACCTGTGTGGAATGGATCCAGTCAACCACAGGTATGATCTCCGACATCTCCAAAGCCTGTAAGCCTGTCATCCACTGGTGATGAAACTAATGAAACCAACGAAGGCAACGCATCTCTTTCACACTTGGCGAATACCATAAATCAAACCTTCCTAGAACCAATGAACACGTTCCAACCTCTAAATTCTGACCACTCCCAAGCCTTAAACGTGTCCGGCACTAGTAACCAATTACCATCTACAATTACCACCACAGAATCGTATGTTTTCTGGAAATTATTCAGTATAGTACCTACGAAGGCTCATGGCCCAGACACTATTCCTGGTTGGCTTCTCAAAGAGAATGCCGATGTACTAGCTAGTCCCGTGTGCAAGATTCTCAATTGTTCTTATCTCTAAAATCGTTTACCCGCTGCTTGGAAGTTGGCAGATGTAATTTCCATTCCAAAACAGAAGCCTGTACGAACTGTAAACAAGGATTTAAGGCTCTCAAAACTAGCCAAGGAAGTGGTAGTTGAACAGTTCATTAAACCGGCGATTCTCAAAGTGGTGGATCCTAACGAATATGGAACACTGCCGAAATCATCTACCACGCAAGCTCTTATTAGCATAGTCCACAATGTTGCTAAAGCCACTGATGGAAACGGGGCCTAAGTTAGACTTGTTCTATTGGACTTTAGGAAAGCATTTGATCTCATCGATCATCAGCTACTTATGGTAAAGCTCCACTCTCTGGACGTTCCGCCGAGTGTTATAAATTGGGTAAGAGATTAAAGTTGGCCAATGACTGCTATTCAGAATGGTCCCTAGTCCCGCAGGGAACCAAACTCGGTCCTTGGTTATATATTCTTATGATCAATGACCTCAACACAGTCAGTAATAACCTCTGGAAATACGTAGACGATACGACTTTAGCCGATGTAATACCCAGAGGAGGGGATAGCAATATTCAATCTGAGGTCGATGACATCCAAAACCAATCGAACACCCTGCAATTTACCCTCAACGAGGACAAATGTAAAGAAATGCGAATACAATTTAGCAGATACAACACTAATTACCAGCAGCTTCCCCTAGTGACAATCAACGGTAAACAGTTAATCCCACCAAATCATATGCCGAAACGCTCTCCCATTCTAAGTTTCTAACTCTTGAAGAGAGACGTCAAATTGCGTGCGACAGACTCTTCAAAGAAATAATGGAAGATAATAATCACAAATTGCACCCACTCCTACCAGACCCGAACACTGACGTAGCGTATTCCCTGAGAACTTCGAGAACTTTTAAAATTCCTTAATGCAAGACTGAACGATTTAAAAAGTCTTATAATTGCTGCTAGTTCTAATAATGAAAGCAGCAGTCACTGAGGATTTTATATATTTCGAAAATAACTGTTAATTTTAACTGTAATTATATATTCTTAAATACATTTATAGATAGTATTATTAATTGAAATAGACAGTCCCATTAACTTAAAGTTACAATTATTTTTATTATGTTTAGTATTTTTAACCAGTAGTAGATAGTATAATTAACCTAAACTTTTCTTTTATTAAATTTAACCGTTGTAACTCAACCTCTTGGTTTTTTGAATAAATTGTAAATTGTAAGCCCATCAAAAATCGCTTACGAAAGTATATAAGCCCAGGGCTTAGAGTCGGAGGTTTACGGTATTTGAAAAATCTATACTTCTGACAACACCACATGTTCACAAATGCGATAGTGTAATCGGGCGCAATTAATTAAACTACATCGTTTTCTTAATTAATAAAAAACTATTATCATAACTCCTATTAAGTGGACACCCGTCTTTAACGGATGCGGACACCTTACTTGAGGTCCCAATGTGCAAATCAACCTCTCTTAAGCGGACAGATGACAGATTTTCTGATAAAATGTATTCAATATTTGACAGTAAATAACAATTGAGATCAATTTACATGGCACATTGACAGTGACACACCAACACAACACAGCGAAGACATCCGAGCCAAGATTATTGAGGAAGTGACAAACGAGGACGGAGGACTGTGAATCTCCAGCCGAGGAGCCGAAAGATATGTGTGAGATCACTGATGATGTGACAACGAACTGAACGAAGATGATGAATTTGACTGGTCTCTTAAAGAACCAGTCATTAAATTTTCCGCTGCCCTTAAAGTTGTCGAGCGGCTGGAAGAATTCGCACAATTTCGAGGTTTGGAAGATCTTTCCAACGCCACTTTTGTATAAATGACATTATAATGGGCTATCGTCTGCGTGACCCTCGAGCAAACTTGTATCGATTCTTTTTTATATGACTGTAAGAGACGTACCCATTTTCTAATGAAGTTTTATGCACAAAGAAATTTTCATTTCATGCTAATTATTATATTTGCTAGATATTTTTTACTGTTTTGAGGCTCAAATTACACACCTAATTACACACCTTTGCCTCCTGCTGTGTGTTTTCTACATACCCCTTTTAATTAACCTACACCGAATACTAACCATATTTATTATAATTACATAGGTGATTATTGAAAATTCTCCACGCTGATTGGTTGCCGTTGAGGTGATTATTACGCGATAATCACCTAAGCGATTTTCAAAATGGCGGCCGAAGCCTTTTTGTCAATTAAATGACGAAGAAATGTGTATTTTCTTATTTTTTTCCAAATAATCACCTATGAAATTATACTAAAACTATTATTCACCTCAGGCTCGGTGATTATCGTGAATAAAAACCTCGACTTCGTCTCGGTTTTTATTCACCGATAATCACCTCGCCTTCGGCGAATAATTGTTAAATAAATTAAAAAATAATTTACCAGAGTTTCATCTCGAACTGCCTAAAGCTAATCATTTATATAACTGAAGACGCAGAGATGATATATACCTCTGTAAGCCGAAGACAAACTGGGGAAAGCAAAAGCTGCTTTACCAGGCTTGTAAACAGTACAACGATTTGAACTATAATACCAGATCCATTGGACAATTAGGAACCTTTAGGAATGAACTTCTCAACTCTCTATTTTTATAATACTCATACAGTATATATTTATAATATAACTTACCATAAACTCTTTGTATCCTTGTAAATATGTATAGCATCATGTATCCTATAATCTCATAATTTTTCTGGTATATCATTTATATCCATATATACCAATATGTAAATACTACACGCACATTATATATATTTTCTATACTTTGTATTTTAATGTTTTGCAGGAACCATCTGAAAAACACTTCTTGTGATGTTGGTTTCCTGAATAAATATTATATATTATTATCATTCATTCAAGCGGACACCCTTTTAAGCGGACACTTAGGCGAGGTCCCGAAGGTGTCCGCTTAATAGGGGTTCGACTAATATATATATATATATATATATATATATATATATATATATATATATATATATATATATATATATATATATAAACTGAAACGCTCTCACAAATCTCCTAATTCATCTTCATTAACCTTTAACCCACCCTCAACTTCCTTCCCTACACCGTCTCATGATAACAATAATCACCCGCATTCGATAGTAACTAATGGCAACCAACATACTGAAATCCATCAACCAATCAGACGTTCTCACAGGCTTCAACAACGTCAACAACAACAGCGCGAAAATTCAAATGATCAATCTTTCTGATGAAGGCGCGAAGTACCGAGTCGAAAGCTCAAAACAAATTATTACAATCCGGAGAACACTGTATAATTTTGTAAAAATTATAATTTAATAAAATGCCTGGATTACAAATATATATATATATATATATATATATATATATATATATATATATATATATATTAGCGACATCTACTGCTTTTGTGGGCGATTATCAACAACAATCTTCCGAACTGCTTCGTACTGCTATTCTTTCAACTTTAATAATGTCTTTTCTCCCAATTTTCAAAGGGAAACGAACGCTTCGTGGAGGGCTTGTATATTTTTATTAATATTTACTATAATAAACCATATATTTCGTTGTGGCCAATCAGAAGCCAGTTTGATATGGATTTGGCCAGAGCCCCTTGTCGTGCTCGGTCGAACGCGCGTAAGAAGGGCTCTGGGTACGAGAATGGCTATATACATGAATTAAATTTGCTGCTTTGCTCGCTCCCTGTGGTAGCAAAAATCGTTACATGCCAAAATTTTCTCCACTATAATACCATTATAACAAAATAACTGGACCCCCCTTCTGAACTAATATTTTTAGGTGGTCCCCCCTTTTCAGTCAAAAATACCTCATGACCCACCCCCTTTTTTGCCAGCCCACCCCCAGTCATAATTAATGAATGGTCCCTTATAAAATTATAAAAGTTATCGAATAAATACAACACAATTTATATATTTCATACTAAGCCAACAAGATGGGATAGCCTTCAACCACTTTATATACCTTTCGCTTTCCATCTTGAACAAACGTTTATTACGACAGCAGTGTGGAAATGCACTTCCACGTGCCATATTTTGCTCATTTCCCGCAAAAATTCACGAATAATTAAAGAAATATTATGATTTATGCTGTTCCTGAAAATCCTGTAGTTCCTGTAGATCCTGTAATTCATGTCCATGTTCCTGTAATTCCTGTAGTTCCTGTTCCTGTAGCCTGCTTGCCGCCTGGAATTTCCAAGGGGGGATGATTCCAGTCTGCTAAACTGCAGGCATAATCGTGTTCCGTGACGTAGCACTTACAAGGATATAAGTAGCGTTCGTTGATTGGTTCATCGCCTGATTATATTTTGGGTTATGTAAGAAATTCCGTGATTGGTTCAAAATCCAAAATATTATAATTTAGCAGTGATTAAATATTTTATACTAAAAGCAAAATGGCGTCGACAAAATACACTCGCTCTTTTCCAAATGATCGTTGGAATGACGCTTTAGCAAGTGTTTGTTCTGTGTTTACCATCAAAGATCTTTATTCAGAGCAAAAAGAAGCCTTGGAGAACTTTTTTGCTGGTAAACATGTGTATGTGAATCTACCAACCGCGTTTGGAAAATCATTGATTTCTCAAGCTATTCCAGTTATGGATGATTCCCTCAAACTTCGAACAAAGCGTAGCGGAATAATTGTCGTAATCTCGCCTTTAAAGTCTTTGATGATTGAGCAGGTCGCATTTTTAAATAGCATCGGTTTGCCGTCGGTTTCTCTAACGGATGCTGAATGTGAAAATGTAAAGGTGATCCAAGATGTTATCCATGGGAAGTATTCGCATGTTTTTCCTCGCCTGAATGTCTTCCTTCCATCAGCGTTTGGAGGGGTATATTTGCATCTGAGCAGTTTAAAGAAAACCTTATTGGTGTTGCAATCGATGAAGCACACTGTATAAGTCAATGGTAAGTTGCAAATATATTAGCAAACACGCAAGAACTGTATGTAAATATGTTTGTAAAACAGACTTGCATATAAGTTTGAAATAGCTGTTGAAATAGCTGTTGCTGAAGTAGCCTGCGTACAGGCTATATTATATTCTGGTAAAATTGTTTCCATGTAAACCAACTGAAAATAACCTAGTTTGTAGTTGTGCATTTACTGCACAGTACACTTGCACACTGCATAGTGAATGAGCAAGCCAGTGAATGATATAAAATAGAATATATACAGTTCTTTGTTCTTTGTAGGGGAATGTCAAATAGTGAACGAGGGATAAAAAAGATTCCCTTCCGAAAGTGGTATGGAAATCTTGGTGAGCTGATGTCTCTTGTTCCAAGTAACACCAATTTTGTGGTCCTCACTGCCACCGCTACGCAAGAAACGACTGATTGCATTTTTGAAAGTTTAAAGCTACCACCAAAGAAAACCCATACTGTAAAGCAAATTAAGTCCTGATCGCCACAACCTACGATACAGTGTCCAGTACATTGATAATAATATACCCTTAAAAATTGTTTTTGCTGGCCTCCTCAATTAAATGAATGAGAAAGGAGTGGAAGCGGACCGAACATTGATATACTGTCAAACCCGAAAGCATTGCGGTTTATTATATCGTTTATTCGAGATACGTCTGAAAGATAAATTTTACCATGGCTGTGCTAAACCAAAGAATCGAGTTGTTGAAATGTATCATGCATCAACTCCTGATAATGTGAAAAAGCATATCATTGAAAATCTCAGTGATGAAAGTGGGCATATACGCATCTTAATCTCTACAATTGCATTCGGGATGGGTGTTAATTGTAAAAGCGTTCATCGTGTTGTACATTTTGGGCCTCTAAAAATATGGAATGTTATGTGCAAGAGAGCGGGCGAGCCGGTCGGGATGGAAAGCCAAGTAATTGCATCATCCTTTATAATGGTTGCTAGCTAGTTATTCAACTCCTAAAATGAAGAAACTCCTTGCTAATGAAACATCAGAATGTTTGCGTCAATTGATATTTGCGGATTTCAATATAGGTAGCTGTCATTTTGACTTACCTCATCAGTGTTGTGATGTTTGTGCACAGACATGTCAATGTGGTAACAGTGATTGTGGAAAAATACCAGTCATAAGTTGTGATCAAGATGATGATGACAATAATATTCCAACGATTATCCGATCAGTAACAACAGAAGATAAGGGAACACTAAAAAGTCTTCTAATGTCATACAGAATGCAACTGATAGAGATGGAGGTGAACACTATGACCTCCTCTGTTGGAATTCCCAATGTTTTTCTTGAATTTGGAGGAATGCAAATCTCCCAAGTCCTCAACACATGCCACAAACTATTCACAATTGATGACGTAATTGAGAATGTGGAAATATGGAGGAAAAATCATGCTCCAGGAATTTTAGAAGCTATTAAACATGTTTTTAATGACATTGACATAGATTTGGATTTGTCTCCAGTTGAGGACGAGGGATTGGACATTGACATGGATTGGGAAGAAGTCAGGGATGATTCTAGTTTTCTGAACATGTTTAATTCGCAATCTATGGAGTGGAGCCAAACAGACACCACTGCAGACACTACTTTAGTGGAAAACCGTAGTGACTTCTTCGAAGCTTTAGTACAGTAAGCACATAATTATTGACATTGCATTGGCAGAACAAGGCCGCAAATTACTGTAGGACATTGGACAATGTCCGACTAAATTTGACAAATGTCCGAGCAAAAGTAATTTTGATTGGACATTGGTCCGATCATACAAAAAATGTCACTTTATACATCTCTTGCTGTGACAAAATCCGATTTCAAATTCACTCAATTTGCATTTTGCAATAAAATTTACAAGGCATTCTAGCATTTTACTTAAGTTAATGTCACTGGAATGGCTATACATATTTGTCTCGTAACTTATATATATATATGTATCTTGTGACATATATATGTCTGACCAAAATTAAAAATGATTGGACAAATATTTGCGGCCCAACTATCAAATTTTATTAACGCCAACTATTAATGTAACCATTAAGGTGCAACATTTACTTTAGAAGAGATCTAATTTGGGTATCAACCCCTATTACCCACAGAATAGGGCTTGACACAATTTGCCTCTAGACCATGGGTCGCCTGACCATCTTGTGGCCGGGAAATCTGATTGGTTGATTAGGCATGAGATATTTCTATTGGTTGCTTAAAAATAACAAAGCCAAGATGACAACTGCCAAAGTCATCTTTAAGGTTTTATCAAATTTAGTGTCAATCATATTTATCTCTGTCAATGCATAAACATTAACATGTGGATGGCCCATGGATTAGGCACAAATTGTGTCAAGCCTTATTCCAATAATAGAGATTGATACTCAGCAGATTGGGGAAGATCCTTCCTTAAAAATTCAGGCTGCAAGAAGGCTAACTTGACCAATAAAATGCAAGAGTCTTAAAGCTATAAATGCAATGGGTTGCATTGCACCTTAAAAGGTTACTTTTGTAAATAGACTCCATATGATATCAATCAGTATCATATGTAAAATACAGATTAGGTGTGTTGCAATTAAATTTAACATAAATTATCAGTGTGCTGCTAAAAGGTTTATGCAACCAGAGTACAAGGTTCTCTACCTAGCCTTTCTATGTAGGATCATATATTGTTTATGATCATTGATCCAACTAAAGTATTTTTGTAAGTTAAAGCCAGATAATAAAGTTGGCTCAACTTTCGAGAAGCAACCATAACTTCTACCAGGTGTTATGGTCAACGCATTCTGTGATAAAAGTTCACTGCTTATCTTTTCCATGTCAGCCTTTTCCGACTTGCGAACATGCTTCCCTGATCTTTTATACAACAACATTGATTCATCAAAATTGTCTGTGAGTTGCTTTGTTATCCCCAATGCATGGTAGATTCGGGCGATAGACTTTTTGCTGGCATTGGGACCTAGCTTTTTCAAAACGTCCTTGAAAACTCTGTTGATAAATTCTAGGGCGCAAGATCTAGAGGAATGTTGCCACCCATTGTATTCTTGCGTTTGGAAAATCTGTTCCAAGTAAGTTGATGGGCAGCTTTTGGACTCAAAAGCGCGCGCATTTATCTGGAAGAGCAGATAAAGGCCTTCCAAAGCATACTTATCGCTACCTTTGTCATGATGCAGATACAATAAAAGAAATTTCCAATTTCTAATAATTCTAGTACCATCACCTTCTGAAATTGCATCAAAGAAATTTAGGATGACCATACCATAATCGAGGAGAGCTTTCTGATAATTATACATGTCATCTTGAACGACATCATTATGGATTTCAGTGAGAAGAGGTTGCTCTTGTATACTGACAGGTGGACTATGAGACTGTTCGTGACTTTGTCTCCACTTCCCATCAGATTGGAAAGTTTTCTTGCAACCTGGAAAACGACACTTGTACCGACCGTCAAGTGTTCTATCCTTTGAATCCCGAAGCTCTCTCTCTTCCAACTGTTTGACTGCTTTAGCAATTTTCTCGTGCTTTACTTCATCAAGGATGTACTTATCAACAATGGAAGTGGATAACTTTGTCAAATACTCTTTCTTATCTTTGTTATTCCATGTTTCTACATTGTTCAAGGTATCTGGCTCTTCTTCTAAGCTTTCCATTCCTAATTCAATCATGCCAGCAGCAACAACACGTGACTGGATTTCCAGGGTAAAGAAACGGCGGTTGGCATTAACCGCTGAATCTACATCCTTCTTAAATGAGCGACGATTGATAAGGTTTCTATCACTAAACATGGTGCATTTATCAGCTGCGGACACTGGGTTGTACAAATGGGAAAATAGTACCTGTTAGGAAAAATTTGTAGACATTAGAATACAGTAATCCTAAAAGAATATTTTTATAGATTCAGTTATAATAATTTGTTACTTTCAGTCGTTTAACAATAGACCTGGGCAAACTAGGAAACAATGTCGCGGAAACATTGTTTCTTGCCAATGTTTCGCCATGTTTCCAAGATTGGGCTAACACTAGGAAACATTAGTGAGAAACATATGGAAACATCAAATGTTTCTGAATTAAAAACATTTTTGCTTCTCGGGAAGAAAATTTTGTTTTGACTCGCAACAATGTTTCCACAGGTCGGCAAACAGGGAAACATTCAAGGAAACATCGAGAATCACAAATGTTTCCACAACGTTTCCTAGTTTGCCCATGGCTTAACATTGATATAAAGCAAACAGATGATATATTCTGCTATTGTCTGTCCATTGTTAGATGCATAGTGCAAGGGTTGGGGGCTTATAGTCGGAGGTTTATGGTATTGTACTTTTTGTATTTACTGTTTCATAATTTTCATAATATTATGAAGGTAGGGCATTTGAACGCTTAATTTTTTGTTACAGTGGGGCATGTGAAAACATTTTTTGCATAGGGGGTGGAGAATTTGATAAGTCAAATTTCAGAAAGTTTAAATTCCCAGGGGAGGGGGGAGGCCATGTTGAAATATTCGAATTGATCAGTACATAATTGACACTAATCATAATTCCATGCACATCCATATTATTTGTATGCTATTATATACTTACATTAAGGGCTTTGTTTCCAGCATGCCAATCGGCAATCTCACAATGCAAACCATCCATTCTCTCTCCAGGGGTGAAGCCGTTGCTACGAGTCACGTGGGCATTCACAACTCGTTCAACTGTCAGTTGATCACCGACAATTCCTTGGCTACAATACCTTCGTTCATCTCCTTCTCCAGCGTAAGGGACATATTGGTGGAGCTCCTTCAAAATCTTCTGAATTCCATCAGCATCATTCTCACTCTCAAATATTACTCCCATGAAAGTCTAAAAATTAAAACGTCAGAAAATTAAAGCATGCAATTATAACCTTTTTTTGTTATATACATTAGCCGTTTTCACATTAGAAGACAGACAAGTCGTTTAGGCGAACAAATCGTCTCATAATCGTCTTTTAGTCGTACAAATCATCAGATGTGAAAACGTGTCAGACAAAATGTTAGACGAACAAGTCGTCTGAATTTGTTCGACTACTTGTCCGTCTGTGAAGACGATTTTTGAGAGACGATTTGTTCGTCTAGATGACTTGTCTGTCTCTAATGTGAATAGGGCTAATATAATGCAATATAATTATTGAACAGTATTTGCTACATACTGAGAGACATATTAATTAACATATATTAATATTGCCTAACACCAGACGATTTTACTCAACAAGGAGAGAGTCTTGCAGCTTAATAGGTTGATAGAAAAATACTTACTGAATTTGTTGACTTTGCCATCTCTTTACTGTACTTATGAGGGATGTGTTTTTGGACAACATCTTTGGCAAAAGCAAGACAGGGAATATTCTCGACCAGAATCCTTTGAACAAGGGTGATATAATTGTCTCGTTGAGCTTTCTGTTCAATATAGTTGGGAATACATTTTCCATTTTCCATCTTAAGAATACCATCCAATGGAGGCGTTGTACTTAAATGATTTCCAGAAACTCGATTAGTTGTTGCATTTACTGTGACATTATGTTTATCAACATTTTGATGTTCTTCTGTCATGTAGTGCACGTTCTGATGGTAATCAACATTATCAATAGTAAGCTTGAATCCCGGGGATGGCTTAGGAGTAGTACTTGTTCAAACTTCCTCTTGCGAAGTATCTTGCTCCTTATTAATCACCTCTGCAAACCATTTGCAATCAGTTTGGACCATTTCTTTCACTGCATTATCATAGCCCCTTCCAAATTCTTCCAATTTCTTGTAAAGGTGTGTTGGTGAAGTCACTAATCGTAATGGGGCAAATCTGGCATAACAGGCTTTAAAAAAGAAAATAAATACAGAACAATTACTAGAAACGTACTAGGCTGTGTACTGTTGGCCACATTGCAACATGGTACCTTGTCAAAATACTACCGAAATCAAGTCACAAGAGTAAAATCTCAATGTCCGTGCTTTCCCTTCCCTTCAGTGGCACCACCAGCTCGATAATTGGGGGGGTGAGAATATTCATATCTTCATGCTCTGCATGATTAATTTCTTTTGAAATTGATTGTTTTCATGGTCTGTGAACATGAATATATGAATATTTCCCCCCCCCCCAATTATTGAACTAGCATTAACCCTTCCACTGGCGTATACAGTACGGTAGGTGAAAATAAAAAAAGTGAATAGACTTACTGCCCAGTTTGAATGGTATAAGAATATACCCAACATTAACTGCACTGCGTTCATGTAGGGAGATCTGTTTCGGAGAAGAACAGACGCAGCCATCCCAACTGCAGGAATCCATGAGCACTTCTCTGTTTTCTTATTGTTGCAGCCACCAGCCACCAAGACAGAATAAAATAGTGGGACCCTCTTTTCCAGCTCTTCATTCTCTCGTTCAAACGAAAAGTCAAGCATTTTCTGCTTTGATGGAGAACGCAAATAACTTGGGTTTTTCCTGGAACACAGATTCGAACATTCTTTATCAATCTCTTGCAACATGTAAACAGTTAGGTGCTTTCGGATATGTTTACTTCTCCACGCTGCGTTTGCAATTTGCTTGAACGTGCAACAAACTAGCATTTTTCCCAATGACTCTATCGCCCCATGTGAGGTAATCCAGGGGGTATTTGGATTCCGGATCCCACTCCTTGGATTCGGGATCCCACTCCTTGGATTCCGGATTCCACATCTTGGATTCCGGATTCCGAAACTATAGTGGATTCCGGATTCCAATTTCAGGACCGTAGCTAGCATGTACAGTTGGGGTGGGGGCGGGGTGGGGGTGGGGGGGGGAGTGTAGGCCATAAATTTCCGAATGACGAAAACATTTTCCGAATATTTCATGGCATGCGAAGCCACGAAGGTGTTTGCTATCCGGAAAATGAAGACGGTATTTACAAACAAAAATACGCATATTTTACGCACAGACATATTAAAGTACATGCAGTGCCGTAGAAAGTTATTTTTAATTGGGGGGCAGAGAACGAGGGCCCAAGGCCCGAGGAAATTTTTTAATTTAGAGTCTCTGAAATGCTATTTCCTGGACTTTGGGGAAGTTTTGACAGAATTCTGATGGTCAGAAAATAGTGTTTTAGTTTGTCGAAATTTACAATTTGCTTACAATATAGTAGTAGTAAATGGGCGAAGGTGTATATGTATATAATTAACTATACATATTGGAAAAATTGCAGGAAAGTGTGGGTAATATGATTCTTTGTAGTTTGTCATGGATAATGTAGCCGCTTAAAATTAATCAATTGTCATTATTTTAAAGGTTAAATGATAAAGGTCTGCATGATTTTGGAAAAATAAATGATTATTAGCAAATTACATCAGCTGCATCACACAGCCCCCCTCCCCCGTTGCTACGGCCTCTGGAAGTAATAAACCGAAAAATATTTACCGATCAGTACTATTTGTTAAATGTTATCCATGTAAATGCCATGATTTCGTAAATCAGTTTATACTGATACTACAATTATATTATATTTTCTCTATTGAACAACTAAAATTTTGTTATACTATTATTGACCTAATTTTCCTAATGGCCAAACCGATTTTCCCAATATGTTAATTCTAAAAAAGTGGGGGGGGGGGTTACCCCCGCGAACGTGACATAAAAACCGTTGCTAATGTTTAGAATCCAGTTTTATTATATGCAGCTTGACTTGTGTCTCTGACTTTGTTTATACCAACGTACTGGAGGCCATAATTTTTATCCGTGTAGTGAAACTGTGGGAATAGTTACAGTTTTTGTCCACGACCGCGTCGTAGATTTGGTGCATCTTAAGCTCGCTAGCTATTGTCTATAAACGGCACCAAGATACAAACGGTATATAAGAATGTGCAGTATATACCCGCTAGTAATCGGAAGGCGAGCGGGCGCAAACAGTTCCTCAAATTTCATGTATTTGGACTATTTGGTCATGAAACTTGAAAGAGCCTGAACATATTTCTTGGAGTTAAATTAAATAAAAGAGGAGATGGTTAACAATGTTTTTTATGTTTTTATGTTTTCTTTCTAAATTAACAACTGACATGAATGGATTCCAGAACGACCTGGCCTCTGGATTCCGGATTCTTCAGTTATTTGGATTCCGGATTCCACTGTCTGGATTCCGGATTCAAGACTCTGGATTCCGGATTCCTAAACCAACAAAAAGTCGGATTCCAGATTTCGGATTACCTCACAAGGGGCGAACTCTAAGTCTGGATGCAAGCAAATTTTATGGACTTTTTAAAAAAATAAAAGAACGTTTCGGGAGACGTAATGGAGATCGATGCACGTGCAAATCATGCCGACCTACAGAATCGATTTCCGGTTTTTCCTGCAGCGCGTCGTTTTCATATGCGTTCCATGGGCCGCGCTAAAAATATAAATATTCTGTAAATACCGAAATAAAAGATGAAAATCTCAAGACACAAGCTTAAAAATAACACCATAAATAGTGTTTTCGATTCTGGTTCCAATAACATTATCACGAAAAAGATATGTCCCAAGGAGCCGAAATTATGTTCGGCAAAATGTATGGCTAGTTTACATTGTTTGTTGTATTATGAAATATGATACCATACTTGTATTAAAATTCGCGTCGAACTAATGTTATTGTAAATGAGTAGACTTGCCACAAGTCGACCTCGAACGAAATGCGTTTCTTCGAGGTCGACTTGTGGCAAGTCTAGCAAATGAGAACCATACAAATGATACAATAATGGTTCTAATTCTTGTTGGTATTTTGAACGCACGCTTTATCTTTAGTATAGCTACCACAAAGCTTTTCGCGCGGATTATATTTCGTAGAGTACTAAATATTATATTTTGTGGTTTTCGAGTCATTACACAAAGAAAAACACATTAATTCAACACGCAAGAAAGCATGGGCGTACCGGAAGGCAAAATTTAGGGGGGCGGAAAGAAAATTGCCCGACTTTTCGGGAAAATTGCCCGACTAGTACCGAAAAATTTTTTCCGGAAAAATTATTTTGGGAACCTCCCCCGTCGCCAAAAAAATTTCGGTCAGTGTACCATTTTAGGGGTCAAAACAATTTTCCGGACAACCAAAATTTTTCGGAACATAAGACAAATTTGCCAAAAAACATAAAATTGCCCACAAAATATGCTTAAATTTAGACAAAATTTACAGAATTTGTCCCATTTTTTTTCATTGCAAACCAAAATTGCCCGACTGTTGATCGAATATTGCCCGACTGCCCAACAAACTGGGGGGGGGCTACCGCCCCCCCTGTACGCCTATGCAAGAAAGTCCAGAGTACGACACAACGTAAAATACATAGGAAACCAGCACAATTCTTTGAAAATTCAACGAAACTGTGTAAAATATAGTTTGATCACTCTGTGAAAAGCCACCATTGCAGTTCGGAATTGTGCGCGTGCGTACAGTGTATAGGCTAATAAACGAAAAATGTACCACAAGCATGGCATGAGTCGGCTATTACGTACATATATGCGAGCCTATTACTATACTATCTAAATCGTGGAACCGAGGGAATCGATGGCATTTTGGCTTAATCGTTGCACCCTGAGCCTGCGATGAGCTAACGCAAACTCGATTTCTCGACTACGAAAAAAAAACAGAAAAAGGGGGATTTAAGACAGTTGGCCTTACAGGCCAGTGTAATTATGCATGAAGTGGTCATACGTCACGGAACACGATTATGCCTGCAGCTCCTATAATACTTGGCATTACCGGTACCTGAGAAGACCCTCATGAGAAGACCCCAAATGCACGAGAGCGCCCCTACTATATATGGTATAGATGGCCTTATATGTATATACAGTATGTAATATGAACTGTGTAGAATCAACCACAACATACGCACTACAGACGACTCTCAAATATATATACAATATACTATTTTGAATTATTATTTACTGAGTTGTTGACTTTTTCACTTCTCAATTATAAACTTAGAGCACAGATTGACCATGGCATTATGTTAATTTAACACGAGCAGCCTGTGGATATCATGGCAGCGTTATATGCCAGCGTAAATTTCACAAAACGCGCGTGACGGCGCGTCAACAGCAGTATAACTATGGCATAGCTAATGCTAAATAAGAAAGAATAATATAGTTGCTTGAATGTCTGAAAGATTTCAATTCGTAATTCAATTTGATCTTCTTCGGCAAGACGGCAATTTGATCTTCTTCGGCCTGTCTCCTTGGAATTCATATCAAAACTTCAATCAATTTGACTTATTTCTTCTCCTTGTAGCAGGAATGAGAAGGATAGAGTTAGAGGGAAATTAGTCTCGCATTGATTAATTTCCACGATAGAAATGTAGATAGAATTAAATTCCGAAATTTAGGAAATATTACCTGGTAACCGAATAAACAGTAGTAGGCAGAGATTGTTACACTTTCTCAAACGCTTTGAAACTTAGGAAATATTACCTAACCACTGAGTAAAGAAACATATTTAAATTTTAGATTGATTGGATGAAAACTGCATGATGGTTATGTAAATCTGGTCAATATTGCAGCCAAGCCCTATATATACTATATATAGAGAGTACTCGCATCTGCATGACCCGAGTAGGCAGAGATTGTTACATTTTCTCAAACGTTTTGAAACTTAGGAAATATTACCTAACCACTGAGTAAAGAAACATACTTAAATTTTAGATCGATTCGAGAAAAGCTGATGCTTATGTAAATCTGGTCAATATTGCAGCCAAGCCCTATGTATACTATATATAGAGTATACTAGCATCTGCATGACCCGGGTAGGCAGAGATTGTTACATTTTCTCAAACGTTTTGAAACTTAGGAAATATTACCTAACCAGTGAGTAAAGAAACATATTTAAATTTTAGATCGATTCGATAAAAGCTAATGGTTACGTAAATCTGGTCAATATTGCAGCCAAGCCCTATGTATACTATATATAGAGTATACTAGCATCTGCATGACCCGGGTAGGCAGAGATTGTTACATTTTCTCAAACGTTCTGAAACTTAGCAAATATTACCTAACCACTGAGTAAAGAAACATATTTAAATTTTAGACTGAATCGATAAAAGCTGATGGTTATGCAAATCTGGTCAATATTGCAGTGAAGCCCTATATATACGATATATAGAGCCCCTATATTGCCATTGGCATCTGAATGACTCGAGTAGGCAGAGAATGTTGCATTTTCTCAATCTTTCTGAAATTTAGCAAATGTTGTAGAATATAACCGAGGTTAAAGAAGCATAGTTATTTCCGTCAATTTAACTGATATATTTTTTGTGTAGCAGCAGCAAGGAAAGGGGGGACTGATCAGGCTCCCTTTCCAGCGAAGGGGGGCCTAATTAGTCTCCCATTGATTGTGGTTAGATAGAGATTGTTGTATTTTGTCAATCTCTCTAAAATTAAGGAAATATTATGTAAATAGTGAGAGAAAAAAGTGTATTTGAATTTTAGGTTGCTTGGGTGAAAGCTGATGGTTATTTAAATCTGGTCAAATTTGCTATCAAGCCCTACATATACGATATATAGAGTACTAGCATATGCGTGACTCGAGTAGGCAGAAATTGTTGCATTTTCTCAAACGTTCTGAAATTTAGGAAATATTACCTAACCACTGAGTAACGAAACATATTTAAATTTTAGATTGATTCGATAAACAGCCTCGTTTTGATGCGTTATGAGAAAAGAGGTTTTCTGTTAATTGTAACCTTGGAATTTGATCGATTCTTTTCAACTTTACTGAGTATGATCCCAGGGATGTAGTTATTACTCTCACAACCGCTGACCAAAAAAAAATTAAACCGGGGGCTGCTAGGTCAAATTTTTCGATTAATCCACTTGCCGGAAATAAAATTTATTTTTGAAGATTACATATCATAGATAGACCCCCTGCGCATTTCGTGATAAAATATCTGAAAAAAAAAGGTTCTTCAAGGTGAAAACGCGTACAAGGTTTTTCGCCCAAAAAATCATTCTGGACGCGTTTTCACCACGAAGGACCTATTTTTTGTTAAACATATATTAACAAAAAGTTAGTATAGGGCGTAGGCACAGAATACTACACAGAAGGCCATCTCCATTGTTTTTAGCGTAAGCGCTATTCGTCATGATTCGTCACTCAGCAAGTACCGTAAACAGAAGCAGTCCCCCCCTGGAAATACTCAAAATGGCGAACGTCCAGGGGGGTGACTGCTTCTGTTTACGGTACTTGCTGAGTGACGAATCATGACGAATAACGCTTACGCAAAAAACAATGGAGATGGACTTCTGTGTAGTATTCTGTGGCGTAGGGCTTCTGCATCACGTGCCAGTAACTTAAAAGAACATGTACTGGAGCAAATAACTCCAAATCCGCCAATCGGATAACAATTAAGTCCACTTCCGGTTTGTGGAAAAAGCTGAAAATTGTACAACTGATAGAGCGGCGACAACTGATTGGTGGCATGGGCGTGGTTTCGTTACTTAAGGTGTCACTGGGCCGTAGGCTTTTCTCGATTTTGCTAGTAAAAGTAGCATAATATGCTACTAGCAGTTCTGGTTTAATGTCTAAATTATGCTCGAATTATGCCAGTTTTAAAAAATTATGCTTGTTTTTTATTATATTATGCTATTCAAAAATATGCTACAAAAGTGGAAAAATCAACGTATTTTGTTATAAAAAGTAAATTTTGTAACTTTTAATAGTCTTTTCTTCTTTTTAATAGTCTTCTTTTAATAGTCTTTTGGTCTCTCAATTTCGACTTTTGTAACTGCGCTTTTCCACTTTCGTGTTTTTTGGAAGAACAATGAGAAACTACAATGCTTTTCTTTGACGAAATCACTTCTTTGCAAGCATTGCAAAATATAGCGTTACCTCTAACACACAGATGTTGATTTGGAAATTGATTTACTCGATCTCGTAAACAAATTTTCTTCACGTCAGAAGCTCCCCGGCTCTTGTATTTATTCTTGTTTGACTCTGACCACCGCTCTCGAGCAATTTTTGCAGGTGGTGGCCTGTTTGCACTATTATTATCACTATTTTTCTGTTGCCTTCCTTGTGCAACCTGTAAGTTTATATTTTCCTGAGAGGCTGACGCCATCTTGGATATTGAGTAATGGGGAAATGTGGAGTGTGGACTGGGTCTCATATTAAGGTGATTACCTTACTAACTACAGTAGTCAGCGTAGTGTTGTTTAACAATCACTTCCTGCAAGTGTTTGGACAAAATTCTAAAGAACAAGTATAAAGAAAACTAAAAAAATTTTCACATCTTTAGCATTTTGCTCTGAAACTTAGACATGTCTGGCAATTGTCTGCAGATTATGCTGGCAGTGCTTTTTTCTAAAAAAATGCAAAATTATGCTTGTTTACCCAAATTATGCTAAAAAATATGCTAGCACAATCGAGAAAAGCCTACTGGGCCGTTATTAACGGTTAACGAAAAATTGCTTAAAAACGCTCAACAAGGTGTCGTATGAAAGGTCTCGGTCTAACTAACCGAACTGTCGTGATTATAGCGAAAAATATTAAAATCCGTCCCAGCAACCTTCGCGAACGTAAAAAGAAATTTTCCGTTGGGACCATGTTCAGAGACAACTCCCTACCTCGCGTTTTAATGAAATCTTTTCAAATTTCGTGGAAGCACTAAGGGGACGTCGGTCATTTGTGCCAGCGGCAAAACACACAAACGGCAAAACACACGTGACAACTAGTAAATGTTTTTGGCTGATTTCCAAAAAAACATAATAGCAGGCGAAATGTTGTTTTTTAAATAGTTACTAAAACAGTCGACTTGCCAAGAAATAGCATGAGACCAAGGACACTCGACCAGAAATTCGGACCAAAATAGCCTCGTTCTGATGCGTGAGGTGGAAAGAGGTTCTTTTGTTTCTTGTGACCTGACAATTCAGTTGTTTGTCTAGCAATTTGGTACGCGTGATCCATCACCCACACACACTCCGGTGGTGTTCCGGTGGTGTTCCGGCGGTGTTCCGGTAGTCAGTGTTTTACTACATGCAGGGGGGGGCTTGGTCAAGTTCGCCATTTTTCGACTCGGCCAAAACACATTTAAACGGCAAAAAGAGCATGTTCCCGTGGTCCAAGTTTGATGAGCCATATACCATTCGAACGAGCGTCGGGCACTCTATAATCCAATATCAACCCTACCCATTCCGGGGGGGGGAGAAAAAAAATTGTTCACCCCCCCGGATTTTTTTTTCAGAATCTGAATAGAGGGCGTTAATCAGCGTAAAAAACTGTATATACCACCGTTTCATCTTCATACCTATTTTGCATGTCCTTGAAGTCATCATGGGTTTAGGTAAAAAACTGCCTCGCTACACAAAACACCTCCCTCATATTTTTGGCTACACCAAATTTTCCTAGCTAATGAAATTTTTGGGCTTTTAGTATGTTAATAAGGGCCTCAAATGGTACATAACCCGCTTATCAGAACCCAAGTCGGACTTAACCGGACGGAGATAGCAATGATGTCCCTTCGTTGATTTTTTTTGACGAATTGTACGTAGCAGGGCCCCCTTAAGGGGGTTAGGCCCCAAACCTCTATGGGGTATGTAGGGCACCCCTAGGCAACCCCCCACCAAGTTTGGAGTCATTTGAAAATATCCATTTCCAATAGGCTAAGTTTTCCAAAAATCAACGAAGGGACAATAGGACCATCTTAAATGGAAAGGATTTCAAGCTTTTTTTCTCATGGGCTATGCAAAGAGAAACAGAACATCCTTCTTCAACACATGCGCGAAAAACAATTTTGGATTTTGATCAATAAATGGAAATGAGCATTAACACGAAAACGAGGCTCCAGGTCATGGAGCTCGTTTTCGTGTTAAAGCTTATTTCCACAATTATTGCTCAGAATAAAGAATCCTTTTTCATGCTTGCGTTGAAGGATGTTTTGCTTCTCTGTGCAAAGCCCATGAGAAAAAAGCTTGAAATCCTTTCCATTTAAGGTGGTCCTAAGTTGAAAACAGTGTAGTTGTGACGTAATTATCGAAAGGGTGTATTTTATCAATCTTTCTGAAATTTAGGCAATTTCATTCAATAACCGAGACTAGAAGCATTCTTATTTAATTAATTTTACTTACTTTTTCTCCGTGTGAAAGCATGCAGCAACAATTCAAAAACGGAAAGGGGGCCTGAACAGGCTCCTTGTCCATTGAAAGGGGGACTATTTAGTCTCCCTTGATCTTGACGAAAAGTGACAACATTTGTTTCTTCAATTTTCAATCATAATCACGAATTTGAATTGAATTGATAGTAATAATTGTATTGAGCACATTTACCTTACAATTTTAAGAATTTTGGATAATTTCTTCTCAATGCAAATTTAATGGTGGAGCTCTTACTTCACGTGTAAAATGGGGTTCATTTTCAATGTGTCCTACTAATATAATAGTACAATATATTGATGCCACCTCAGGTAGCAGGTCGCGAGTAATTCACAAGGAAAAACTTCGTATTTTTTTTATTTATACACTAGTCCTGTGTCGATATTACTCAAATGTCATCCAAAAATATGGTAAATTTAACGAATCGGAAAGAGCACTAATCAGCCTCCTTCCCACGGAAGCCGGCGTAAAATACGGATTAATTAGTCGCCAATTCAGATCTTGACAAAAAATAAGAACAATAATATCGTATATATTTTTAAAATGATAACATACAAAAAGTGGTTACGAGCCGCCGAGGTGAGTGGGTTATAGGTAAACGTATAAACTGGAGAAACTGCGTGGTTCAGTGGGGTTTAAACAAGGCTCTCGTCTAACCAAACACCAATCAGTGGGGTTCCTAAGGAAAAAAACTCACCGTACCAGAACATTATATATAATTATTCACAAAGATCTGGGGAACTTTTCGTGAATATAAACTCGATGTTAATCAGTGTGCAATTCAATAACCCACTTAACCTACTTTATTTTAAAGTATTTTTCTTTCTTTAATAATAATTAAACAAACTACATACACTGAGAAAATGACAAATGTTTGTATGCATGCCTTATTATTGCGTGGTCTCCATATCTCGATGAGATCAAGCATGTATTCCTTAATCACTCTTTGTAGTATTTTGGAGAAATTAGTTAGTGAAATTATGAAAATGACGATTTGCTGATGCTGTTTTTTAGGTGATTGGGCATCCGGTGCCTGTCCACATAACATTATTTTATACAATTATCTTTGTTGTTAGAGCGAGGGTCCTCAGGATTTACTAAGATCGTTACGACATCCACCAACAGTAAACATTTCTGACATTCCAACTCGTTTGGCGACTTTTGTGAACCACATTGAACCCAGTTTTTTAATCCAAATAATGAACAGTGGTTCCATTCCGCGCAACAACATCGTTGGCAAAAGATGGTAAACTCCAGAAGTACTTAGAATGGAAGTATACTTCAGCCCACACTTCTGTTAGCGATAGGTCACATGGGATAATGGAGCTCTACAGTCTGCAGGATCGGTTTCACGAAAACATCCAACTGAATGGTGTGCTAAGACGCTTATCGATCGATCCTCAAATTCACGCCAACGTAAACAGCGAATCACATGAACTGCACCAAATTAATTCCTGAACATGATTCCATGTTTTCATGAAACGACTTCTTGTAGATCTGCGAAATGAAAGAAAACCCAGCAAACCTGAATGGAGTAATAATATTAACTTTAAAGTTTAGTATTTTAATTTTGGGATAGGTAATAGAACCTCTACATGCGTCTTGGACCTTTGGTTAGTGGTTTATACTTACTGTACCTTACCAGAACATCATTTGGAGACTACGAACAGTTGTGTAATTTGGATGTTCTGGGTTTAGAAGATCGAGCGCAAGGTGACCAGCAGTCGGTGTATGATGAGTTCAAGGAACAGCTTAGCCGAAGTGATGAAGGGTGGTATGAGACCGGATTGATTTGGAAACAGGGTCATGGTCCTCTTCCGAGTAATGAACATGGCAGTTTAAAACGATTAGATAATTTAGTCAAGAAACTACGAAGAGATCCCAACCTCATGACTGAATACGATGAGATCATTTAAAATCAAGTTGCTGAGGGTGTAGTTGAACGAGTAACCAGTGAACCAGTCGGGAAAGAATTCTATCTACCGCATAAGCCTGTCGTAAGGGAGTCAGCAGGATCCACCAAAACTCGTATCGTGTTTGACGCATCAGCTAAAGCCAATGACAAATGCCAATCATTGAACGACTGCTTAGAGACAGGGCCGCCCTTGCAAAATATCCTTTGGGATGTGTTGGTGAGAAATCGGTTGAAACCTGTTGCGTTGGCTGGTGATCTCAAAAAGGCATTTCTTCAGATCAGAATCCGACCAGAACATCGAGATGTGTTAAGGTTCCACTGGGTCAAGGAGGAAACATCAAAGATAGAGGTTCTCAGATTCACCAGAGCACTGTTTGGGTTAGTGCAGTCACCATTTCTGCTCGGAGCAACGCTGAAACGGCATCTAGAAAGTCTGAAGGAACGATATCCAAATGAAGTCGCAGAAATCGAGAAATGTTTATATGTTGATGATGTCATCACGGGGGGAGACACTAAAGAGGAGGTGCTTGATCTGAAGGAGACCACTGTAGCAATATTCAAAGAAGCCAAGTCTGAGTTACACAAATGGCACTCCAACGAATCGGTGTTAGAAGCGAAATGTGAGCCTGATGATGGGAAGCAAAGTTACGCGAAGGATCAGCTCGGAGTCAAAGCGGGAGAAACCAAGTTGCTGGGGCTGCCATGGAATAAAAACAATGACACTATATCTGTTACTTTTCCACAACCAATTGCTGAAACGACCAAGAGAGAAATGTTACGATTCTTAGCCTCGATATATGATCCACTTGGTTTAGTGTCGCCCACAACACTTTCAGGAAAGCTGATGTATCGGCAAGTTTGTGACCAACATCTACCCTGGGATGCGAAAGTGTCGGAAAGCGTCGCAGATCAGTGGTGCAAATTCGAGAATAGCCTACCTGGTAGAGTAGAGATACCAAGAAGTATCACATCAATTCAAGAACCGACTAAAGCGATAGATCTACATGTGTTCGGAGACACAAGTGGAGTTGGGACGTCGGCGGCAGTTTATGCAGTTGTCCACCAAGAGTCGGGGGTTAACCAAGGCCTACTGACCGCGAAGTCTCGTTTAGCGACGAAAGGCTTATCTATCCCGAGGCTAGAGCTTGTTTCAGCGCACATGGCGGCAAACCTGGCAGAGAATACAAAGAATGCCCTTGGTGGTCAACTGGTGAGATCTGTTACGGGATGGCTAGATAGCACCGTAGCCCTATATTGGATCAAAGGGGGTGGAATTTATAAACAGTTCGTAGCTAACAGGGTGCGTAAGATAAACGAGAAGGAGTTCATCGAGTGGAGACATGTAACCACTGACCAGAATCCAGCTGACGTTGGGAGCAGAGGGTGTCTCGGAAGCAATCTCCCCAAGGTTTGGTTAAACGGACCAATGTGGTTACCATATCCCAACCAATGGCCGGAGTCAATTGTTCCTATGGCAAGCAAGGAAACTGAAGAAGAAGCGAAACTGAGCCGAGAATTATTCGCAGCTGCCGAGATAAACGATGAGTTTGAAGAATTATTGTCGAAACATTGCTTTTGGTCTGCAGTCCGTATCATGGCTTGGATTAGAAGATTCCTAACGAACTGTAAGTTGAAGAAACTAGCGAGAGTTACCGGTCCTTTGACAACTAAAGATATACATCAACTAGTTGAGTGGTGGATCAAGAGAGTTCAATATAGCTCCAGCGGTACAGACGAGTTTCAAGAAGACAAATTAAGACTGAACTTACAGCTGAACTCAGCTGGGTTATACGAGCGCCGTGGTCGCATTCAAGGAGAATTTCCTCTATACTTACCACCAAGCAAGAATAATTACTGGCAAATCATATGAAATACGAACAAGTGAATTCCTAAAAGAGCTTAATCAGGGGCGGCGCTAACCCTCTTCGAGTGGGGGGGTGTGAGTAATCTTTTGCCGACTGCTGTTTGGTAATTTTGCCGAGTCATTAGCCTATAGTGAGGGTCCTGAAGGGGGGGGGGGTCCCAATCCCATTTTCCACCTGAAATTTTGGCAAAATCCCAGTCCCAGTTGGATTTTTATTAGAAATCCCAGTCCGAGTTATTGAAATCCCAGTCAATAAAAAAACCTTTATTTATCGGTAGAATAAACAGTTTTAAGACCTTTTAAGCCACCGTGTGTGCAAGTGGCGGACACTTTATGAAACATTGGGGAGGGGGCGCTCGTGCCGAAGGCACAGAAAATTTTTAAATTTGAATCCCGGAAATGGCATTTGCAGCATTCTGAGACACGCATAATCAGAAAACCCAGAATTCCGGGCGCCAGAGTATGCCTGTTCGCTGGTAGTGCTGTGAATAATATAGTTAACAACAAAAATCATGACCAAAGACACCGAAAACGGATCAAAATTATATTTTAAAACACTTAAAATGTAGAAAAATTGGGAATTGACTCGCATTACCTCAATCCTATTTTTGAGGACTTCATTTCCCATTCCCAGTGGCCAAATCCCAGTCCCAGCAACCCAAATCCCATTTTCCCAGTCTAAAATTAGATCGATCCCAGTTCCCATTTTACCCCTTCAGGACCCTCAATAAAGCATGAATTTGACTTTCACGACAAACATAATTAAGACTATCAATTATAATATAGATAATATAGCATTTGTAAATTCTGAACGCTGATTGACTAAGAGCCGTGTTGATATAGCTCAATGTCAACACGGAAAGGTCTGAAAATTTCTTTCTTTATGTTTCTTTGTGCTATATTATAAAACAAATATAAAACATTTTTTCCGTATTGATATACAGTTATATCAACACTCGTGGAAATTGGGAAAACTCGAAATTGCGTGAAAACACTCCGCGCCCTTCGGGCGTCGTGTTTCCACACAATTTCTCGTTTTCCCAATTTCCTCTCGTGTTGATATAACTGTATATCAACACGGAAAATGTTTTATATTTGTTAATTATTAACTCGTAAACAAAGTTTTTCCCGCCAATTTTCGCTTGCGACGTTTCAGCCCGGCTTTTGTCTCATCTTGGCTAACCGGGCTCATGTAAACAGCCCCTTATACGGATGTTCAGTTTTCCAAATGGATCAGTAACTTTATTAAGGAGCGTTTCTTTTGTAAATCTAGATTTGGATTTTTAGGATTCGGATTTTGCGGATTCGTTAAACAAATGGAACGAATTGTGAGAATCGGAATTCGCCTGCTGTTTTCCCGCCATTTTTACAATAAGTTTTCTGTCCCACTATACCTTTCGGTCGGGTCAAGGTAGATACTAGAAGGCCATAAGCTCAAAAGGAACGTTGAATCCTAATCAAGTTTCAGATTAAAGGACATGGATCTTTTCAAGCAAGCGGAAGAGGAATACTTCAGTCGCAAGGAATGGCAATTGGACGCTGAAGCGTGCGAACAGCAGTTGTGCTTTGAAGGACGCAAACATCAGTTTATTAATCTTTCCGGAGTGATGACATGCAATTCATGCGGACTGGAAACTTATCCCGTCTTTGTTTCCGGGTATAATTGTTGGGACACAGCAATTTCAAGAGGTCAGGACAAAAATAGCATCAGTTATAGGTATGAGAATTTTTGCTTCAAGAGAAATATAACAGATTTTGTTTTATCAGGAAAAGAAAAAATGAGATCGTAAAAAATACTTAAGAAAGTTTACTCGATGCAGAGGAACCCAAAAAGAGGAGGCTCCCTAACCTCAACATCCTAACTTATCAAATATGTAAAAGACTTGACATAGAGATAGACGAGACTCTACTTAAGATTCCGAAAAGCAGGGTTTCCCATAATCGGTGTAAGAAGTATTTCAAGCATTAGGCTGGGAGTATATTGAGTAGTTTTAATGTTCCGCTAAGCATTAAAATTGAAATAGTAATTTTAGGGTGACGATGACAAGAAGAACCTCAACCGTTATCGGGATCAACAGGCAGCTGATCAGGTACAGCCACACTAGTTTCCGTGGTACTTTCATCATTTTGTTTTTCATATTTTTTTACCGTTGCGCTGACGTAACCGATCTGAGTATGTGCGCTCATCGTGATGTCTCCTCGTTCAATGCCAATACCCAAGCTAAACATTTTTCTTCTTCGGTGGTTTTTGTCGTACTTCACTCCGTTTGTGATTTCAGGTTTTGTGGACAAGCATCCCATTTTTAATCCTTTTTATCTTCCGTCGACTTCGGCTTTGGTTTATGTTTACTTTCCGGCTCAGGTTTTGGTTTAGGTTTTGGACAGCACTCACTCTTGTTCATATATCTATAGTTTTTAACGCTGGAACTGTTGAACTCAACTCTTGCATCTGCGTCAAAGGTTAGGTTACCCCTACCTACTTAACACCGATGTTCACTTTCTTCTTTTTCTTCTGATCTCCACTGAATTTTTCCTTTCTGTTTTCGTTGTTCATTGCTATAGTGTTTTTTATTCAACCGGAAAATAAAATGCCATTTAACATGATTATCGTAGGTATGACAGCCTGTGGAAAGACACACTACCTCGTCCAGGAATTGAAAACCACGTTTTTTCATCAATTTGAAAACATATTTTTAATTTGTCCCACCTATCACTGGAATAGGACCTACGACCAGGATTTCATTCACGAGGATGACAGTTTCTTTGTCATTCCCTGCCGACAGGACGACGTGGAGAAGTATCTTAAATTTGTCGTGGATTCCTCATCATCCTGGACGACTGTGCCAGCACCAAATCTGCGAAGGACCGTACGGGGGAGCTGGTTGATCTTGGGTTTCACTGCACGAAAAATTGGATTTACCACTATAGGAAACACAGAGTAAACTTGAGATAATGCCGCATTTGCTCATATTTACGAGCAAATGCGGCATTATCTACAAGTTTACTCTGTGTTTCCTATAGTGGTAAATCCAATTTTTCGTGCAGAGTATAGCGCACGTCACATGAGTATTTTCACCATCGTTATCACTGACTTCCATTGCCAAACCATACCGACAAAATATGTCGAAATTGGTAACATTTTATAATCCGAACAGACAGGACATGAAGATTATTTTGGACGAATATCTTTTTGTCGACAACGCGGAAATGAGATCTATTAAGGAAAAGCTGAAGGAAAACAAATACGCTCATCTTGAGGTAAACCTGGTTCATCCGTTCAATCACGAGGTAAAGATTCCGATGATATAATAAAAGATATGGAATCGAAATTACCGACCGCAGAAGAAACATAGATTGAGGACCACAGGACGGAGCTTATTCGCCTGTCCAACGCGGGAGAGATTACCCAGTCTGAAAAATATCTCAGGAAAGCGTCTGACAAAGTCATCACGAAAGTCCGTAAGGACTACATCGTTGCACAAAGGGGAAAGGCGAACATCCTGCTGACAGAAGCCCTGATTGATAAATTTTCCGATCTTATGGAAGTCATCAACATGTTGGACAGCGGGGAAGAGCTAAAGACGGAACTAAATCAGGACAAACTGTTCAGGAGTGATGTCAAAAGCGTGGTGGGAAACCTGTCCCCTTACATACCCTATCTGGGGATCGTTAGCGGAGGAGTGACGACCGTAAAGCATGTTTACCGGAGAACACCCGAACCACCACCTTCCGAAGAAGAACCAAAGACCGACATTGATAACTAAGTATGAAAATTTTCCACACTCTTTTAGGTTTGGAAAAACCTTGATCCCTAAATATTTTTTATTATTTTAGTACTGTACTCCGGTGAGTTGTCCGTTTTCAATTCCGATAACACCGTCAGAAAGAACGAACATGTGACATACGATGTTTTCGTGATTCCCACCAGTATTCCAGACTGAGTGTTTTGAATTTTAGCACCGTTTCCAAATGTGCTTACATCGTTTACGGTTCTGAGATCGATGACCAGCGCGAACTTTTTGTCTTTGAAAAAGTTGGTTAGCGTTTGATGACTGATTTCACCGGTGCCGAACAATCGTCTTGCCTCTTCGTACAGTCTTGTTTTCGGAATACCTTGACTGTAGACTGCGTTGGGCACACCTTCCACGGTTACCATAACCATTTCGATGTTGGGGTAACTAATTCTATTGTTGACTGGTCTGAAAGAAAGAAATTCCAGCTTAATCCATCAAAATGTAAAGAATTTGTTGTGTCTTTTAAACGGAATGAACCAAATCCCCATCAGTATTAATCAATCACAAATCGAACGAGCTGACAAAATATCGATTCTTGGTTTAACAATCACAAAGGACTTGAAATGGAACGATCACGTGGAAAAAATAGTCAATAAGGCATCCCAGCGAATTTACCTGTTGAAACAGCTCAGAAGGTTTGGACTTGATGCTGGTGATCTCAAGTGCTTCTATGTCGCTTCAATAAGGTCAATACTGGAATATTCATGCCAAGTTTTTCATTATGGCTTGACACAATACCTATCTGATGTTATTGAAAGGATTCAAAAGAGAGCACTGCGCATAATTTACCCTCAACTGTCGTACCAGGATGCTCTAGACATGTTAGAATTAAATACTTTATCTACACGCAGGGGTGATTTATGTAAGAAACTTTTTAACTCGATTTTGGACAATGAGGACCATAAGCTTCACAACTTACTGCCACCTAAGGTGACATCCGATACATATAATTTTAGGAACGAAAAACTTTTTAATATTCCAAAATATCGTACTAATAGATATAGAGATACTTTTATAATATCTAGTCTAATAAACTCGTAAAAATTGGTATTTTATAACACAGAACTAATAGTTAAGAGATACCTTTTAGGAATTTTTGTAATTGTTTTAAACACTTTGTATAAGAATCATGTAATTCAGCTCTATGCATGGCTGCCAGGTGATTTTAATAAACAGATTATCTATCTATCTATCTATCTAAACATATTCTTCACTGTCTGTCTTTGTCTTGTTCGTAAACAACATGACGATAGCTTTCATGCTTCGGCGTGGCACGTTGATCGTTTCGTTGATAATGGTGGAGTCCTTACTCCATTCCGTCTTTTTCATCAGGATGACATGTTCGAAAGACAGCTTACGTCCGACGTTGTACTGACTTTCCACTTTTCTTGCCAATCCGATGTTGTCGATGGATTCGTACTCCAACTCAATGTTTTCCAGGGTATACCCTTCCACTTTTTCCCCACCCTGTGTGTTCATGATTTCATCTGCCGCTGGTAGGGTTATGACATACTGTAGATCGTTTGCCATATTGTGTGGAGCATAGATTCGTATAGATAGAATCTTTTAGGATTTAACCGATTCGGATTCTTTGTTTCGTTCCAAATACTTCGAACAATGCGGCGGCATCCACATCGTCGTTTGCAGCATCGTCTTTGGATATTTTTTCCCTCGTGGCTTCGCTACCGATGCCATCCTCCACCATGTCGTCACGCTGTTTCCTGTGTAACCATAGGTCCTTGTAGACCTCCAACAAACTTTCTCCACTGTTATCGTAGACTTTTTCTCCTGCGAGGCGAATTTCCAGTCTTCTTTGGAGTAGTTTTCCTAAGTTGTTTCCGAACCAGGATTTTGTGTTACTGTTCTTAAAGTCGAAGACCAGAGCCATGCTGCCCGGTACGAGAACGGAGTCGGCTTTTAGTTTTGGAATATTAACGTAAATTTCTTCTTCGGGTCTGGCAGAGTTGGGGTTGAAGGTTAGGACGTGTCGGGTACTATATCCGGTGATTTCTGCCTTGTTCATACGTCGGAAATCAGGCATAAGTTCAACCGTTCGGTTCATTATGTTTTATTATAGTACAAAAGGATATTTATTTTTTACATCTATTTTGCAAATACTTGAATATTGCACCGGCAATTACGATCGCCACGATCCACAAATTCTGGGCGAGGAAGGAAAGATCCTTGGCTCCCCAACTTAGGATCGTACTTAACATGTTTAAAATAGGTACCAGGATTGGCAGTGCAGCTTTTTCAAACTTTGCCAACGCTTTTCCGGCAGCTCCAAGTCCATTAGCTGCTCCCGTGATGGTCTTCTTTCCGGCCACCACCACAGTCGTAATAATTCCGGCAATGGAGATGGCCATGGCGGCTAACGCCCCCATGTTTTCTTTTGCCCACACGCGGAATCTCCCAAATTTTGTTCGGATGTTGTCCCTTACTATTTCCATATACCTGTGTTTTCCCTCTTCCGACCTAGGCACCTGTCCCATTTCCAGCCTTGCATCATCGATGGCCTGTTCGGCAACGTTCACCGCCTTCTGTGTTATCTGTCGTCTATCGTCGTCGGTTTCTTTTTCGAGGTTACTTTTCCATTCCTTCATTATAATGTCCATGTGTCTGATTCTTTCCTTCGGCGGTCCTTTAGGAGCAGTTATTCCTGCAAATTCCCTTCTTTCCTGTTCGGTTATTTTTCCTTCACTTTCCAATCTTTCCGCTTGTTCCGCGAGGTTATCGCTTGCGTTGACAACGTCCTGGTGAAATTCCTCCTCGGCCTCTTCGTAGATTTCGTTCGCGTTCTCCTCTAGCATGTCTCCTCCGGTCTCCTCTTCCACCACGCTGAGGACTTTTTCCTTGTGTTCGATTAGTGCTTTTTCATATAGCTTTTTGAATTGTGCCACAGACCCAGCAGATTTTTATTTTCGGACATTCTGAATGCGCCACCCATATCAATGTATCCGATAACGGTTCCATCGAACGACAGCTTATTTTTAGTTGCGTACGCGTCTAAACGAGAGATAAATTCCCTGAAATTTTGTCCGTCGGTCGGATCTATTCGGTATTCGCTACTCAACAATTCTCTGGCAAACTCTCCCTTCATGCCATTAAAATTTCCGATTAAGTACAGTTTATCCATCTGCTCGTCCTCCTTCTGTATGTGTCGTCTTTGTTCTCTTCACGGAAACTAGATGCTTTTGCTTCGTTTAGTCCGTCAACAGTTTGGTCGAGGTGATCGATAAAATCGTCTTCATCAATTACCGTTTCGTCCTCACCTCCTTTGGCTCCACCACTACCTTCCGGTCGGTCGTTAGACAAGTCATTCATCTCCACTGTTTCCATTTTTATTTAAGTCTAAAGATAATTCCTGTTCGTAATATCTTCCTAAAATGTCTTCCCCATCCTCCGGATCCTTAAGGCTGTACATGTTGGGATCTCCCCGAAACACCGCCGTGATGACGTACATCTCGTTGTCGAAATTGGGTTCGTATCCTTTTTCAAACGTTTTATGTTTTATCTCCACCCTGACGTGATCCCCGACTTTGAACTTGGGTTTCGGAAAACTGTCCAGTGGATATCCATAAACCCTTGTCCAAACTTCGTCCTTCTTCTCCTCGTTCACATCCGCCGGTTTCATCCCGATCGTCCTGTGCATGGAATTATTATAGGATTTGACAAAGGCAGGTAGAACGTCCACCCAAACGTTCGTATTGTTTTCCGTAAAATATTTCCACATTCTTGTTTTCAAAGTCCTATTAAATCTCTCGACGAGTGGAGCTTTCCGGAAGGCTCTCGTGGAAAAGTAATGGACATCGTGATCCTTTAAGAACGTCTTTACTCCTACATTGTAGAATTCTTTTCCGTCGTCGAATTGTGCTGCTTTCGGATATCTGTCAAACCTTTCCTTAAATTGTGCGAGTACCTTTTCAACGGCTTTCGTCATACTTTCAGTATTTTTTCGCCAGATGGGAACGGCAAAGGCATACCGACTCAGTCAAAATCCAACGGTTTCCCTTATTCTTGTAGCTGAACTTGCTCATGTCCACAAGGTCCATTTGGATCTGCTGCGCCAGTCCGTCAACATATGTCCTTTGGGTTTTGTAATGCTTCCTGGATGGTTTGTGAATGATATACGTGTTCTGCGTTTTCAACCATTCTTTGACGTTTTTCCTCCTGACACCCGGTACACCTTCTTCCTTTGCCTTTCTGTATAGTTTTTCCATCGACATGTACCCACCGTTTACGTTAAAATATATTTCTCGAAGAGCTACATCCAATTGCAAACTCATTTTATTATCGGTAAATAAAACATGAAGAAGATAACAACTTACATCAAGGACGGAGGGATTATCCTAAACCTTCGGGATCCCCTAATCCTTACCCACGAATCCAAACTTTTCGTTAAAACTGTCGCTGTGTTCTGGTATTACAAAAACGTTCGCACGGGTTACAACGACTACATTTCCGTGGATGGAAAGAAAGTTACGATGGATGAAGGATATTGGACGTTTAAACAGCTACGAAAAAAGATGGAGGAAAACGGACTGACGTTCAAGGAATATCCAGACGGAAGGGTAAAGATTGACCTCGATAGCGGGACAAAGACGGTGGGACTTCGGAAACTCACGGGAATTTTGGGATACCGATCCTCCAACGGTCATACATACCTCCATACATCAGCGACCGTACCGTAGATATTCACAATGGTTTGCGATACATCACGGTTAGCTGTAATCTCGTAAACCGTGAGCACAACATCGGACCTGGCGGAAATCGGAGTGTCATCATCACCTCCCTTCCGATCGACGGAACCAAGCCTCTTTTCGGAACCGTGACCAAGTACAATGACATTGAAAGTCAGGTACGGGTGGATGCTGGAAGGTACAACGAAATCCGGTTTGAAATCGGATCCAACACCGGAGTTGTTCCGGGAGATGTTTTGTTAGAACTTTACATCAAATAAAACGATGAGTGAGGATATCTTTCGCAACTACTACGGAAAGAATTACGAGAAAGTGAAGGCGGCAACACCCATTGAAATCTGGAAAATGAAAGAAAATTTTAGGAAAAAGTATCCCTACGCAACCATGTCTAAATTTGACTTTGAGGTTGCCTTTGCAAAGGACGGAACCGTGGAGTCCAGGGACATATTTTTTAAGGTGGATGACCTCACAAGCTATGACATTACGTCTGATACGTTCCGTTTGAATCCTGAATGGAGTAAATTTTTACACTGGATGGACGGATGGCGAAGCGTTCTTCGGGACATGATTTTTCGTCCGAACAAAGATTTTAAAATGAATGTGCACAGTTTTAAAGTTTACGTCACGGAGACCGAAAGTTTCGTAACGAAATTAGATCCCATTAAACCGACGTACAATAAACCTAAGGGTACCTTCATCGATAAGCTGTCGTTCGACTACCATTCCGATTCCAATTTTGCTCCCTGGCCGCAGCTTATGTCACAACATTCAAGTGCTGAATTTCCGAGGATCATCTTACGAATAATCTTCCCAACTCACACTCCAACATAGTAACCTCCATCGTTCGCTTTCATCTTCATTTCTACCTTTCAAGATTTATGCGTAATCTCAAACTTCTGGATCAGTACATTACGAAAGACGATATATGGACCATTCGAAAATTCACACCCGTTCATGAAACGTGGGAAAAAAGAACGGAGTCCTCCCATGCAAATCTCGGAACGTGGTACTACGACAAGCCGGTGGACGAACGAAGAAGAATAAGACGTCAAAAATATCATCAGACTAAATACAGTGGAACAATTATCGAATACGAGTACCTAACCGGCAGGTCCCCCTACGACGTTAGAAATGATTACAAGACCCTTATCCCTAAAAATCCCGATTAACCAGAGTTGGACAGATGCTATTCCAACAGTCCATCGAGGCTTTCGTGTATTCCGTCCTAGGGGCGCAGGCTAAAACCCGATGGAGTATTACGGGACAAGGCGCAAAGAGGTTACAAACGCACGAAGTCTTTCGGAAGGTGGTGAAGGACACAATCGTTCAGGACGATGTCACGGTCACCATTTCCAACATGCGGACGGCCATTTCCAATATATACCCACGTCATCCCAAATTTTGCAATTATGCCAGGTCTAATCCTAATCCCTTCGGACTTAAGGATTCTGACGAAACCCATTCCGGGATTCAGCAATGTCCTGACAGTGGCTAGAAATGGGATGACGTTCGGAATAAATGAAAAAGTTAATCACACCGGAACAAAACCTCTCAAACACTTTACAAATAGTACCGATCTAAGTCCAAATCCCAGTCACAACATCACACCAATTCCCACCGCGGAAGATCTTCAACCACTGGTAGGGAATAAACCAGCTTTAAGACATAAGTCCGACAGTCAGAATATTGCCCTTGGTATGATAGCGGTAACATCCTTCGGACTTGCGTATTTTTTGCACTTCGACGTTAAATAAAAAAACAATGAGCATCTTATTCGGACACGATTATTTTAACGAAACAAAACCTACGCTGAAACGTCTGGAAAAGAAAATAAATCAGACGGACAAAAACCAAACCACCACCGCCGCGGAAGTGGTCGTGAATAAAAATGAAATCACAAAACTTCACAGTATAGGCGATCAGTATGCCTGGCACAGATTTCCGAATTCCATTGCCTATCCACGGAACAGCTATAAGACGGATGAGATTTCCAAATCCGACGTGGACAATACGAAATTTATAGGATTTGCCATGACTGACGGATCTAACACAGCTCCAACTATGGGTGCACCGCTTAGTTTTTCCACTAATTCTGCCGGAAATGTTGTTCTCCACATGAAAAATGGCAATGGTCTAATCCGCGCTACTTTCATGTATTTCATAACTCAGGATTATCTCGGATCCGGAGGTATAACCATTCAGGTTATGAGTTTAAAGTTTAGAGATGTGGACGCATCCGGAACCGTTACCGACAGGACGGGAAATATGGAACTATTGTGTTATCTGGTAATTTTACAGTAAAAAGTAGTTTTAAATCTTTTCGTAAGATTTAAAATATCCGTGTTAGTCCGTATGGGCACTACAAACTCCCAAAACACCCATCGTCATCATCGCATACGTTTTCATTTCGTCCGACGGCTGATAATAATCTTCCAATTTTGGTTTCCGTTGTGATGCCGAATCGTCCATGAGTCTCGTAAAATTTCTTAAATCTTCCAGCGCTCTGTTTGTTTCCTCAATGTCCTTGTTAGCATCCAGGATCTCGGCTCGACGTCGGGCTTCGTCGTTCCTCCGCTTTACTTCGAATTCATAAAATTTTTCTTTCGCTTTCGCAAGTTTTTCCAATGCTTGGTTATGTCTTTTCACTTCTTCCTTGTATCCTTGTCCATTTAATTTAGAGAAAACAAATCCGGCTGCGGCAAAGGCTACGGCATTAAAAAGTCATCCTACAACAACGGATGTCATTTTTATTTATCAATCATTTTGGGAATATATCCCTTATCTTTCAGATATCCTATGGCAAATGCGCTTCCGGCTACGGCTACGGCAACAGCCAACTTTGCCACTCCTTCCAAGGTCATCGGTGCGCCAAGACTTTTTCCAGCAACGTTTTTAGCAAGGTAGGATACTCCGACGACTCCGGTCGTCAGTATTGTGGCATCGTACAGTTCGTTGAACACTTCCTTCTTTGTGTCGGTCATTGTGTTTTATTATAGCAAAAATTTCATGTCCTAGTCCGTGATTCTTTATTTTTTCCGTGTCTGACTCACTGATCTAATAGTAGACGGGATATAGCTTCTCTAGGTGTGAAAAGTGAAGCCAAATTATATATGCGAAAATCACTTCCGGGGACCACGGAGTGATACAAATTACTATAGAAATGTATGGCGAACAACGTGAACCAAGGTGAATTTTCCCGAATTTGAGATACTTTGCGAAGTTTTACCAAGCTGATCGCTCCACCGTGGGTAAAAGATGTTATGTTAATGCTTTTAAAACGAAAATTATCCAGATTGCCCTAAAATATCGTCAGTTTTGTTCGTTCAAAGGGCCATTCCATTTAATATACACACTCCCCTATGGACGAGAATTTCTGAGGGGGGTTGAAAAAGCCGTTTCTGAGGGGTTGTGTGCATCGGCATCCTTTGATCTTTGCGTTTTTTCTGAGGGGTAAGGCAAAAATTTCCTATTTCTGGGGGGGGGTGTTTGTCTCGGCATTTTGATCTTTTCTTCTTAGTGGTTCAAATTTTATTGACCTCGTACATATATATTAAATGGAATGGCCCTTTTGTTGTCCATGCGGGAATAATATTTTATCGCCACAGTGGTATGACAGCACAAGTTTGCTTTCCAATTACGGAGGCAGAATATGATCTACTATATTCAAGCATACTTTTAAAGGAAAGTTAGTAGTTCATTTTATCATTTATGTTTAACCTTGATCGACCAGAGGGTTTCAAATTTTCAATTATCCATCTTACTATAAAGCCTTTTTACAAAATATATAGACATGTCTTAGTTGGTACTATAAAAGATATTTTTACTTTTCGTACTTTTTTATTTGTTAATCTGTTAAACTGGAAGGCAACCTTAATGAAGCTTTCTGTAGAGTGAATCTACTTTAATAGTGAAGTTGAATTTTGAATTAGAACAACAAAATTGATTTAAAATGTGGGGTGTATTTATCATTCAATATCTAATTGAGTATAAATATAAGAACAAATATAAAATATATTCAAAGTTAATTTGAAATAATAATCTGCTTAATTAAACCTCAACCACTGATGGACTCAACTCATTGATACCAAAGTAAAATTGTCAGGCAACTACATGTATAGGCAGTGTGATATTCTGACAATAGAAGATAAAATATACATGCTTTTTCAGGTTGCCTTGGCCAATTATTGATGAAATTATCTCTAATTTAAGTTTCTAATTGCCTATACTTCAAAATCATGGTTTCCATGACCAGTTGTGCTGTTTCGACAATGTCAAGAAACCCCAGGTGACAAAACACAACATTTGAACCAAGGCATGAGAAAGTCCGGCAGCATGATGCCAGGAAATTTTTTTAATCCCACAGGAATTTTTTAAGGAAAAGCAAGATATCAAGAATGAAGCTCGAGAAATTTCTCTCTGAGAGCAATAAGCGCAGAAGCCCTGGGTACGAGGTTGAAATCAGCATTAAAGTCATCCTGGGTACGAGGTTGCATTAAAGTAACAAACATCACAATTAGAGCATAAATACAACAATCATAACACAAAAATTTGTATCATGTGGCAGTGCTATATACGACTGTCTGTTATCATGATTCATGATTATGATACATGTGGAAAACAAGGGCGTACTACTATTATTGAATAGTGCATGAATACTGATATAAATTCAGATTTACAATCTGAAAACAAAATTCAAATATTGTTTCATAGAATTCCTTCATGTTCCTAATTCTAGTAAACCTATATTTTTCTTAATATTGAGGTAGTATATGACTAATTAGTAAGGTAGGGACAAGGGAACATAACAAATCCTACATGTTGATTGGTCAAATCTTTGTCTCAGTGAATATTCCCCGACTAATCACCTTGCCTTCAGTTATTGAATTACAACCAAAATTCAAATTTATAAAAACAATTGGCAGGAGATTTTTGGTTTGGGAAGTCTGCTGCCAGGAAGAAAAATATTTTACCATTAGGCTTGGTTTGAACTGCAACCAGTGTTTCTTTTTTGAATACCCCTGGGCTTGGGGTGTGTATAAACCCACAGGCACATGTATAGGGTGTCCCAATAAATGTCCCCTCTGTTGTTGGTTAAGTACTATAAAGCCTGGTTTCCATATGGTCGTAAAGATTGAGTCACAATCTTTCTCATCAGCCGAAATGCAACATTTTAGAACTGAAAATATGCAGAGTGATTAGAACTAGCGAATACTTATGATTTACAGACCTCTCAACTCTCACGCATTCGGCGTGAGTCTCACGCAATTCGCTTCACTCTCACGATCTCACGCCACGTTCAGTAAATCTCACACATATAGCAATTTCATAGTATTTTTTCAATAATATAATATTGTATTCTTAAATGCACATTATTATAATCATTATACGGATCGCGAATCGAATATATAATCGCGTGTTATTGTTCCTGTATATACGGCCCGACATTTTGCCCGCAATTTGGATACAAAATAGTACGCATATGTAAATACGGCTGAAAAAGGCAGAATCGGTCGGAGCAGAATTCAATATGTAAATTATCGAAGGCAAATTAAAGCTCATTACTGTATCAGTCGCAGAAATACAGTTATTGTAACTAAAGTGCCTTGTCTTAAAGTTAAAGGACGTCATGAAGCAATGTATCTTTCGAATTTCATTAAAAAACACCAACTCTCATAATGCACGAAATGCCATTTCAGACCCCCGAACTTTTTATACAAAGGTGTTATCCACATCCCCAATCTCACTCTTAACTTCTCTGCAAAGTTGAGAGGTCTGGATTTATATGTGGTTTACATGTATAAACTACTATATATACTGACTGTTGAGAAAATTGTGACTCTATTTTTATGACCGATATGACCATATGGAAACCAGGCTTTACTCATAGCATGGATAATAAAATAAATGGATAGGAAACTAGCTGACGTGACCTAATGTTTTTACTGTGATTGATGGCGTGGTTGGATGCCTCAACCTAGTTGAAAATCAAATTCTCAAAAACGGCATGTTTAGCAATAATACAGCTAAACAATTTAGTCAAAGAGCAAATAAATATAACCATGCCATTCTACGATGAAAACTCTAAGTATTCCCAGTCAATTTTAGCAAATATTTCAAGCACTAAACAGTGAAAAATACATCGCAAATTTCGTTAAAATTTGTGACGCCAATTTCGTAGCTACAATTGTAAAAAAATACAAAACAAAGACGAAAAACATTTACCTTGAATACTTTGTCGTGGCTTAGGCATGTTTTTAAAACAATTAGACCAGTTTACGCTTCAAGATCACCCTTTTAAAGTGGAAAATATAGCAAAACAACAAATATGCCGAGAACTTTGGTAACATTCGCAATACGCGTGACGTCACGTTTTTCAACAAGGATGCAGTCAATGACGTCAGAAGTTTCCAATCCATTTATTTTATTATCCATAGACCTTATTCATAAATCGTGACGAGGCCTCGTATCCTAGGATACGGGAACAAAACGCGGGAAAACAAGCGAAAACTGCTTGACAAGCCAAATTCAGATGCTATTGTGTCGACTTTAACGGCTTGTTTCTTGTTGCTTTTTGCGATTTATAACGATTTTTGTGTGTATTTTAAGACTTTGTGCCTACAACGAAAGCGGTAAACGAGTATATTATAAAAGCGACCGGTTTTTCTCCCGTTTTTGTGTGGAAAAAATGACAACGTAGCGATGGTGTTTATCCAGAAGCGAAAAACAGTATTTTACTGAGATTTTAACGTCAATATATAAAGTTATTCCGTGAAGAATCAAGACAACTATGGAATGAAAGTATAACTTTTCGAATTTGACATAAATATGAAAGAAAACAACAGTCAAAAATCACAAGAGAACGTCAAATGTTATTGATTCGTACGGAAAAATATAACTATGACTTTGGCTCGATAACATTCTGCAAGCAGCTTACAAGTTTAAAAAATGAAGGCTACATTACCTGAGTGAGTTGTAATCCTATTTCTTCAACAATAGCTTCATATTTCTTACGATTTTGGTGTTGTATAGACGTTTTGTAGCCTTGTTGGTTGTTTGTTTTTCCCACACAAACTTGGCAATAATACAAAGTCAAAGGTTTCCTTTTTCAATTGACTCCAGCATCTTTTGCTTTAAATATCATGTTATATTTTCTCAGAAGTATTTTTTTCAACTTTCAAGATCAGTTTTATAGATATTATTTTCGAAAAAAGCCGTAATATTCACTAAATAAAGCTGCCATAGCCGACAGCAAAAAAAACATTTTGTCAATTTTCCCGCGTTTTCCCCCGTTTCCTAGGATACGAGGCCTCATCACGATTTATGAATAAGGTCTATGCTCATAGTAATTAACCAACAACAAAGTTTGCTGGGAGTTTGGTGGAAAAGTATGGTGTCCCATGTCCGCCAAAAATCAACTTTTGCATTTCACTATATGATATTTTGAGGATCATATTCATTTCATTAAAATAACAACATTGTTTTTGAAGATCACCGGTTTATCGGTTGAAAACACAACTTATTTTTTGAAGACCAACTTTTGAAGACCACCGGTTTATCGGTTGAAAACACAACTTATTTTTTGAAGACCAACTTTTGAAGACCAACTTTTGAAGACCAACTTTTGAAGACCAACTTTTGAAGACCAACTTTTGATACCCAACCGCAATCCAATGTCTTTGCTGTTCGTGGGCTCATATTGTCGTGATTTTCCGCTAAGGGAAGCCTCACCACTGAGCTATACTATATTACTGGAGGACCTGCTCGGGAAAAAAAAGTGAAGCCAAAAACATGGCGGATCTGACGCCATTGCCATGACTACTGGTCCCTAAATTCATGGCAACTACCACTGTCCCAACCGCGATCCTAAGTTTTCGACAATGTACTTCACCCCCCTGGTTTCAGCACAGATATTTTATGATTTTCGCTTGTTTTTGAGGTAAAAATCGCACTGAAAATCTTGATATTTTTCTCCTATAACTTGGTTGATTTACAATGTCGACGATCCTGCCTTTTTGCGCCGCTCGTAGATGTATGAGATGTACAAGAAGAATCTTTTTATTCACCGGTAAGATTTTTATATATTGTAGAAAATTTGAAGCAGAAGTACAAACTACAAAGTTTATAATACTACGAACATAAAAGTATATGAACAGCAAATTATTAGCAGACATAACAACCTGTAAATGGTTGGCAATTCTGTACATTTTATTGTTCTTTTGATTTGGTACTACTACTGCTATAGCGATATTTGCGTAGGGTTTCATGGCTGCATGGTTAATATGATTTCAAAGTCCTTGCTGTAGTGTCTGCACACTTGTATTTATTTAGTATTTTAGTATATTAAATTTTCCTTGACAAACTTTGAGTGATATCCTTGCCAGCAGTTGTTTATAATTACTGTGTAGTTATATGAAATCTCACTTACATGACATGTAGACAAGTGAACAAATACTTTGCTAGCTAGGCGGCTAGGCCAAAGACATCAGGTTCAAACCATTCAATACCCATTGCAATCAAGCAATTACCATAAACATATAAGCCCCCCCCCAATATAAGCCCCCCTGTGTATAATCCCATCATATTTACTAACGCTAGTCCGAATATAAGCCCCTCCCCCCTCTAATGTAAGCCAGGCCTGTGTGTACAAGCCCATGGGCTTATATTATTTGACAAGGGCCGGTTGTATCAAGCCCGTTTAGCTTAATTTCTCATGAATCAGTCAACTTAAATATTCTGCAATGAATATGTAGTTGTAAACATCATTCTATTAAGGTTCAAAACTTCTAGTTTGGTTGTTGAATGAATCTATAGAGTCTGAGTTGCTTTCTATTTTGAGCTTAACCAACGTTTAATTAAGCTAAACAGGCTTGATACAATTGGCTCCAGGTATATTTATTAATGCAGCTTTAGCCATACATATTAGAATACAAGCCCAGGGCTAGCTGGCTTACATTCAGAGGCCGGTTTACAATATCTCGCCCAACATATAGTTTGTCAGAGTTCTATAAATCCCACAGCCATTAGAGGTAATATAGGAATGAAAGGTGCACAATATGTGTGCCAGTCACCTTGGCATTGACCGGCCAACCTTATGCTGTGACAATTAACCTAAATTGATTGATGATATGTTTGAGAGCAGTTTCAGGTTTCAGTGGTGGTGTCCCCAGTATTGGAGTAGAGCTCAAATTTCAGTTAGATATATTATTTGTGATTGTTGTGAACATTCTCACTTAGATCATTTGTGATATATTGTAATTAAATGTAAAATGAAACTTTGGGGAGTTAAGAAATACAATTAATTGACAAGACTGTCCCCTTGACAAGTAAAATTGTCAGGCATTAGACTGCCTGAGTAAAATAATAAGCTTGGGTGCAATTAACTGCTGTATGCTTTGAAGTTGGTTGCATGCTTTAAAGTTGGTTGCAAGCTAGCTGGGCTTATAAATGCCAGAACTCATTTGTGAAAAATGCTTGGATCAATTTATTTCATCCGTAATGAACCCATTTTTAATCCTTTAAGTGGCAATGCGCCCCACTACAATATTTTACTCCGTCCAATGCCAGACAATTTTACTCGTCAAGTTGAGAGTGCTGCCCCTCAATGGGTTCAGTTGCATTGCACCCTACTGTATATGTTCGTGTTACTTTGTCTAACGCCAACAATTTTACTTGTCAACAAGAGAGCACAGTGGTACATGCTGAATGGGTTAACATATAAATAATGTCTACTCTACAGTAAATTTCCCTGTAATTGGACTTTGGAGCCTGGTATATGTGACTCACTATTTCTTCAAAGTGTGTTCTAATGATACTAGCTGTCACTATTTTATAAATATAATTGACATTTCTCATTTAGGGTGATCCGGGATGTAAGTCATGTGGACAAGTTCTTTGGAATGTTCAAATAACAAGAATAGTGGTGTTATAGTAGTGGTGGTACTTGCCAGACCTACCGTAACTGGAAAAACTAACAATGACTTTTCTCCAAAGTCTTATATCAGGCTTTTTTTCAAGGATTTTTTAGGGCTCAATCTTGAATTGAGTTTTGAAACTCAATCTTCTCACCAAAGTTTCAGTGCAGTAAAAATGAAGTTGTTTGAGTTAAATTTGTGACGTGTGGAAATTAGTTTTCAGTTGGAAACCCGACAATTAAGAAAAAATGGCTGGAATTCATCTCACAACACAAGAAAAACTATACATCTTTAACCAGTTTATAGTGTCCCTCAATGCCCCTGCTTTAACACATTCCGTCTCAACTACATTTGTTGAGTACAAGTGTCAGCCCCCCCCCCCGGTAGGGGGGGGAGGGGGGTGCAACCACCACAGCTGTTCAGCTAAACTCAATCTTCTCTGCAAAAACGGATCCAAGAGAAAATCCTGAAAAAAACCCTGTTATATGTACTACAAGAAATGGCCCAAGGCATCAAAACAGGGGACAGCCAAAGAATCACCCATGGAGCTACAGTTATAATAATACTCTATACATATTGTAACTTGATTGTACAGTTACAATTATTAATTTGATAATTATTCTTTGACCAAGTTTAATTAAAATAATACAAAATTAATCATATTTTGAATCTTTAATTTACAAACATGTTGCAGCTTGGTACTGAGTTTCATTAACAGTTAAACAACAGTGGCATGGACTCATGCATTGTTGGAAAATTCTGCATCTCTATTGTTTTGACACTATTTTCATGACCAATTTTGTTGTTTTGACTTCATTTTGACCAAGTCAGTCAGGTTAGTAACCATCTTGTCTAACATTTAGAGATCTTGTCTTGTTCAAGTGAGATCTTAAACTGAGCCAGGTTATCCATATTATTCCATTATATATTCAGGTTATTCCACTATAAAAATATTAAAATAACCCCACACAGTGAAGTCTCGCTTACTGCAATATGGCAAAACTAGAGACTCACAATTAACTTAATATTTGAGGGATGGGGCAAACAAGCTAATGGCCTTTTAAAGACACATACAACAAACTATCATACAAATGATACAATACAATACAATCAGAGAGCACATATTAAAACTACAATGTACAATTCTGGATATAAAACATGCCTTCTCACTTCAGCTGGCCCTACTAGGCAGCTGAGCTTTTTCCTGCACCAGTTCACCACAAGCTCATGCATAACAAAACCCTTGGCTAAATATATAAAACCTTAATTTCCTCTTTAATACACCAGAACATCATAGTTTCATCATACATGTACTGTTGTGCAACTTGATATTGCGAGGAATGAAACATTGCATAAAGTTAATACAGTAAATACAAAAAGGTTTATCTACAACCACATTATAAACACTTGTGGCTTATTTTCTAAAAAATAGAGTACATTTTACCATTTATTCCTAACATTTTTTCATGAAATACTAAAATAAAAATGTGAATTTTAAAATGTTTACCTGGTTATAGTTGACTGCATGTTTATAGACTGCTGTTTATAGCCCGGCTTGAAATATCGTTTTTGTCCACATTTTGGGAGGTTTTAATAGTTGTTTGTTGTCTTTCACGGACGAGAATAACGTGTACGACTTTCACATCCTTGAACAAACGGTCAAACGTCGAAAAAATATGTCGAAAATAACAAAACAACAGGAATTCACTGCAAAAATCCGAAATATTTTTTTCAGAAACCAGGGGGGTGTGAAAACTGTGGCGGGCTCACAATTGAGCCTTGTTCAGTGGCAATTACCATGAATTTAGGGACCAGTAGTCATGGAAATGGCGTCATTTTCACTCAAAATCCGCCATGTTTTTGGCTTCACTTGGTTGACTGAACGAAGTATAGGAGCAGGTCCTCCAGTTATTATACAGCTCAGTGCAGTGAACTCTATATATATATATATCTGGAACGATAACATTCAGTCATTTGATTGTGAAAACAATGAAGCCTCGATACCAGTCTTTCACGCGGATTGGACGTCAGTCTCAGTCCTTCAAACGTCAGGTTTACGCGGATTGGACCATAGAGATTATAAATAACACTAGAGAAGGCATCGAGTTTAAAAATTGGGAACGCAGCTAATGGGGGGCAAATTCAAGTCCCGGATATAAAATCGTGCTCTCATTGGCTGATTTGAAACTCGTCACCAATGAGAACACGAATGCACATCCGGGACTTGAATTTGCCCCCCAATAGTCGCGTTCCCTTTTTTTTACTGAATTAAGATTACAGTGCCTCCTCTAGTGTTATTTATAATCTCTATGGATTGGACGTCAGTTTCATTCCCCCTCTTGCAAACCGTTGCACGGCCAGTATAAATTTGAACGCAATCACGAAAAAAAATTAAAAACATGGCCAACTCAATGCAATACATTTTAGGAGCAAACTGTTTTGCTCCTAAAATTTACTGCATTGAGTTCCCTGTCGGAAAAAAAGTCGAGGAAAACTTCCCCGTGTGGAGAAAAGAATCACTTTTTCAAATATATTGTGTCGTACTGTCGTTCTGGATGCACAAGGAAAGAGATATTCTTGCGAGAAAATTTCATTTCACAGGTAGGTAAATTGACTTGCAACTGTGACTTTGCCGTTGCCATTTTTCGCGATTGTTTGAATTGTTTTTAGTTTACCAGTTTTATAGTTTTTAGTCAATACACTGGTACGTTATTTTTTAAAGAATTTATTGTGTGATCGGAATTTGCCTGCCAGCAAAATGTAAATGAATATGTACGTGGGTTTGAATATAAATTAGACCATATGGGCTTAGTAAAAAATTATTTTAATAACTACGTTTCGGAGTATAACTCCATCTTCAGGTTAAAAGTGAATAAAGATATAAAAACTGTGATAAAAACTTTCAAAACAATCACAAATTTTATATGTAAGTGATTTTTAATACTGTAAGAAAGTTCTTGAACAGTTGATGACGAAGACAATGACGAATACTTATGTCGTGATTTTTTTGTCGGCTTCACTTTTCGCTCGCTGTTATCGTTCCAGATATATATATATATAGAGTTCACTGGGCAGAGGCTTCCTCAATTTCATTCTTCCCGTCACCCCCCGCGTGCGTCACCCCCCGCGTGCCCACTTCTCTGCCTAGCCCGCTACTGCCCGCAAGTCAAACTTTAATATATAGAAAGAAAACAAAAAAGCCTCTGCGGAGGAGAGTGCTCCAAACTGCTCATGTTTACAATAGCAATTCTAACAATCTTGCCCTCCTTTTCGCCTTTGAGGCGTTGGTGTTGATTCATACACAAAATTCAAAACTCAAAAATATTTACTGGTCTGGGTAAATGTAAAACGAAGACCTATAAATCTAAATTCTCAAAAGCGGGAAACGACAAAACGCGGACCCCAGGTCCATGGACTACCTTCGTGGACCTGGTCCGTGGACTACCTTCGTGGACCACTCTCATGGACCACTTGCGAGACACCAGATTTTTGGGGTTTGAATTCTTGACTGTGCATGCAAAAATGTGCTCGAGTCGAGTTCAGTCATTATTATCATTGTGGAAACTTTACACAAAATGTGAAGTTCTAAATCCATTCACTACATGACCGTTCTAAAATATAAGTGTGCAATTACGACTTTAATGCAAAGTTTCCGAATATATGCGCTTAAAATTGGTAGTTTTTTTTTCTCGATCGCTACAGGAAATGCAAGAAAAGCAGTAATCGAGCTTCAAAAATTAATATTTTTGGGAGAGGACCTTCAGGCATTGAAAGGTCATTGCAACTTACGACTTCTACAGTTCAAGTGATTTTTTAACAGTAAAATTCGAATAATTCAGTAAAATCCTTTGACCCCTCCTCCCCTCCCCTCCAGATTCTCCACAGTATTCCTATATTTTTTAATGGAACCCTGACTACATTTTTTCAGCATTTTTACAGACTTAGTATTCACTGTTCATCAACAAAAACTGAATTGATTGTGAAATAAATAATGGAAATGAATAATGAAATAGTATCTCGGCTCCCTAAACTCGGAATAATAGTGCTTGGTCTATTGTTCGGTAGGCGAAATTTCGCAAGTGGTCCACGAGAGTGGTCCACGGGAGTGGTCCGTGGTCCACGAGTGTAGTCCATGGACCAGGTCCACGAAGGTAGTCCATGGACCTGGGGTCCGCGTTTTGTCGTTTCCCCTCAAAAGCAGCTTTAATACGGTCAAATTTTCTGAAGTCTGATTTAGTTGTTTCAAAAGTATAGAATACACACACACTTCTGTATGGATTTCGTACATGTTCTACATGTCTTACAGTAAAAATACAAAAATTGTCCCACTTCCGCGGTTTGTTGTGATTTACTGTAATTTGTTCTGTTTTTCTGTAGCGGTTACAGATTTATCGGCAAATACCGCGATAAAACGTAGTTTTCTTTATTTATTTTATTCTACAGCATTTATAGTTCTACAGCTATCTTATACAGTTTTATAATATAATAGTGAATGATTCCGAATATTCAAAACGGATTGAAAGAATGAAAGCAGTAATTATGTATAACGGTTTAAACCGGCGTAGGCCGTACAGCACACTGCTCACTGGTCACTGGGACGAAGGATAAACCGAAAATTCACTTCTCTCCATGACAAGCTTTTATAATGTCCAGTCGATCCGCTACATTGAAAGATGAGTACTTGGCTATTTTTTGGCAGGGGTAACGAAATATATCGGCTGTTCTCTACTAAGTGTTTCTTAATGCGTTGGCCATCGGAATATAATATAACTACATAACTCATAAGCTTGATAGATATGTGACGAGTTTCACAGGCACAATCCTATTTTAAAACTATGGCTTTTGGCAGTTTTGCATCATATGTGCAGTAAAAGCCCCATTTTTCTACTTCCTCAACGTGTAAAACGCGAAAAAACTTTATTAATAAGAACAAAAATTTGTAATAAAAATTTGTAGTAAACAGTGTATTTTATTATAAAGGATTTTCGTTTTTCTACTGCTCCGTAGTTCGTGTGCTCCGTGCTCCGTGTGCTCCGTGCTCCGTGTGCTCCGTGCTCCGTGTGCTCCGTGCTCCGTGTTTTACTAATAGCCCTCTTGGACGAATTGCGGTAAATGAATTAGCGAGTGAGCTATGTAATTATTCTATCAATATTCTATCCATTGAGGTCAATCAACAGTCGGTGTCATACATGGATATATATTTTACGCAGTGCAGTGGAGCGCAGTACGTCTGACAGTCGCGGAGTCTGGAGGCAGAGTCAGTGTTAATTAAACAAGATTACTATTAGCAAGTGAGAGTGAAATTGTGGTAAGTTTTGTTCATCTTAAGATTTATTGTCGGTAATATGACATACATTTTATACATACTGTTACATAACATATAAAAATGGTGAAGGTTTAGTGATAATTGATGTACGCAGATAAGAAATACAGTCAAGCTGTTATTAATTAGGCCTATTGGCTCATCTTAAGCAATGCGATAAAATCTGACTCGGCTAAAACTGATATAAAGCTCGCGCTAACACAACGTTTCCGGGTAGAACGTACAAGCATTAATTTATAGCTGATATTTTCTAGACAACAAGCGATTGTTAACATGATATGAACCCAACTTCATTGCTAATTTATACGTACTATATAGAGTGTATATTAGCGGCAATATGTCAGTAATATTTAGAAAGAATTAACATGCACTTGACTTGAGGTGCTATCAGGACCTTTGAAATAAATTTGCCCACACAAAGTTTGAATACTAATACGTGTATATGTATAATATTTCTATGACAGCTACCTGTATAAAAAATGGTAGTTGTTATCATAACAAGTAAGATAAAAACAAAGAATCCTTATATATGTAGCTATGCACGCTGCAGTTGCGTTTTAAAAGTACGATAAAGATCTACACTTTAAAAACATTAAAGCAAAGTTAAAACCGATTTTGTTGACAATCAAACTTTCTAAAATGTACTGGGAAACCCCTTAATGTTTTTCAATGTGGAGAAAGCAATAACGAAACTCGTCGAAAGAGTGATGATATAATAGATAGGAATCGTTAGATTAAATAATTTGAACAAATTAAATCAAATTGCATCTCGGCGAAGTTCGAGTTTGCCACGTCGTTTTCTTGTTCAGCCTGGACTTTAGCTAAATGTTAAAATAACTATATAGGCTTTGGTAGTAAATGTTAGAGTATATGAGTTGACATTTGTATACGAACTGTAGTTATATTAATTGATAAACAGATGCGTTGGCGTTGCTGATTCTCAAAGAAAAGACATTTTGACATTTCACTTCAAAACGTTGGAAGGTAGTTTATTTATTTGAGAAAAAGTATATTGGTGGTTTGCAATCAGTCCCTTGAGATTTATAAGACACAGATATGGCCATGCATGTTACTGAGAAAACACGCTCAAAATACAATAGCTGCTAATTATATTCTTTCGTTTGCATTCTTCTAACATGGCCACCAGACGTCATATGCAAACTAAGAATTGTCTGTATATTAAGGCCTGATTCCACGAGAGATTTTTCTCGGCCAAATGCGAAATATTTCGCCTGTTTCTTTTGAATTGTGAGCAATCAAGTAGAAATAATTTATTCGAGTATTCGCAATTCAAAAGAAACAGGCGAAATATTTCGCATTTCGCCAAAGAAAAAGCGCTCGTGGAATCAGGCCTTAAAGCACGATTTTATCGTCTTTCATTCCATTATACTCCTGCAAGCGTATAATTATTATTTAATTATTTGGTAGACTGAAATGAAATAATGAAATTCTCGTCTAATTTTTGAACAAAAGATTATGATCTATATTAAAGTGCTCGTAACCCCAAAATTTGATTTCCAGCTTACTAAAAGTATGCTACTGGTAGAACAGTTTCGCGAAACAATTTTTGTGTTTGTTTGAAAAGCAAAAATTTTAGAGCCACTTGAATTATAGCTTGTTTGGCCAATTAATGAAAATCGTCATGATGGTAATATGGTAAATCTTTCAAAGTATTATTATTAAAGTGCCCCTGACACAAAAATTGATTTTTTGTCTATTGAAAGTGCTCATTCAGTATGGTGTTGTAGCGAAATAATTTTTTGATTTCATCGAAACGAAAAAAATTTAGAGCCGTTTGAACACGCAAAATGTGGGCTTTTTGTTGGCACGCGTCCGTGTTCGGAGGAAACTGGAACGAGCGATTTTTGTTACGTCACGCAAGTGAATCGGCGTATTCTATAGTATTCGACTGGTACTTATTTATTTATTTATTTTACCCAAAAACAGGAAAGGCGCACCCACAGAGCCGAAGCTCCAATAACGGGTTCCCCGCGTGAGTTGTAAAATACATAGAAATATTGTATACAAAGAGTTAAACACTAAATAGTGCATCACAACAAAAAACAACAAAAAGTCATCACATAATATAAAGAAAGGGCACTAGCAGCACAAAGTGTCACTGAGTGAATCCAAAGGACGGGCTTTGTGACATTTGACACAAACAGTCTTGTATGTGTACGGCAATTCTGGGTTATAAACATTAGAAGTTAATAAAAAATAGTAATTAAATAGGCAACGTTTAAACGAAGACAATAAAGTAAAGTTTCTT